GCCTGATCGGCAGACCATGACGCGCGGGGAGCTGGGGTATTGGAAGCGGGTGCGAGCGAAGTGCGATGCGCACTTGCGAGCGATTGCGGAGCTTGTCAGCACTCCCGAGACGGGGCACGAGGGCATGGACACGTACCTCGCCGAAATCGTCGACGGGTCCCTCCCCGGGTCGCGTGTGCACGGCAAGCGGCGCTTCCTCTCCGGGCAGCGGTTCGTGGCGCGCCTACAGAGCAACGCTCGGGTGAAACGCACGTGGGACAAGGAGTCGCGCAAGACCAAGGTCCACCCCACCAGGACCTCGCTCGCCGATCTGCGCCGCATGGGCCACGTCAACTACGGGCTGGCGCGCAAGTACGATGCAGGCCACCGCTTGTTGGGCCACTCAACCTCGTCGAGGCTGATCAAGGAGTCGACGAAGTACGACGAGCAGTGGTGCCCATCCGCGCCGCACATCGACGAGCCGGTGGCGGTCGACGAGGGAGAGGACGTCGAGGCGGCGAAGCAGCGGGCGGAGGCGCTGGCGGCGGAGCGCGGGCGGGTGGCGGTCGCGATGCTGCGGCGCGAGGAGGAGAGGCTCGAGAACGACTTCCTGAAGAAGGAGCGGCGGAAGAAGGAGAGCCGTGAGAAGGTGGCGCGGGCGGCGGACGAGGCGGCGGCGAATGCAGCAGCGAAGGAGGAGGAGGGGAGCGAGGTCGAGGAGGAGGGAGGGCCGGAGTCGGAGGCGGAGTCAGAGGAGGAGGACGCGGGCGAGGAGGCGCCTGAGGAGGCGGCGCAGGAGGCGGATCAACAGACTCCCCGAGGGGGCGAGCAGCGCGCGCGGGCAGAGGACAGCGATGAGCGGCCGGTCTGGAACCGCAAGAAGCGGCTTGCGGCCACGCATGGCGCGTGCAACCTGGCAAACAAACTGGCAAACGAGGGAATGCTTCCCTTCACAGGCCAGGTGCCACTGCCGGGGAGCCCCGCCGCCAGATTTGCTTTCCAGCTGACGCTCGATGCGGGCGAGCTCCTGAAGGGGATGCGGGGTGCAAAGAAGTGGACCGCCGTTCTTGCTATCATCAAGTGCTTTGGGGTGAAGGGCGAACGGTGGGGGCCCGAGTGCCTGAAGCATGTCGTGCAGGGCGCATGCAATGCGGCCAAGGCGCTGTTCCTGCGTTGCTGGGCTGGCGACGATCACGCCGAGAATCAGCTGCGTGGCTTCCTCGGCTATGTGCAGCAGCTCGAGCAGCTGCGCCAACCGGGAGGGTTGGTGGTGGAGCACGCCTATCTGCCGCTGCCGCCGGCGCTGCTCGACGAGGGACTCGAGCTCGTCGAGGACCTCGGCGTCATCGACGAGGGCGACAGCTTCTACCAGCGGCACATTGTCGTCTCCGATGTGCCCATGACTGCGCACGGCATCGTGAGCGCCGACCTTAGCGCAATCATGGAGTTTCTTGGACTGCACTGGATCGCCGACCAGCCGACCTCGCCCTTCCACAACGTGCTGCACAAGGACCAGTCGAAGCTCGCGATGGTCGCCGTTGTTCCCGATGGCGGCGCATCCCTCGAGCAGATGTGCGAGCGGCAGTGGCCCGGCCGCCCGGAGATGGTTGAGTACGCGCAGATGATGGCCGACTCGTCGCAGGACTGGTCGAACTCGATCCAGTGCCCGATGCTGGAGCTTCGCACCGGGTCCGCGAGCGGCGGCACTTCGACGTCTCGATTCGCTCGCGGCAAAGGGTCCAACGCGGCGCGGGGAGCGCAGGCGCCTCCCCCTTGTGCCCTTCAAGCGCCCGCCGCTCGTATTTCTTCTTTCTTCCGAGAGTGCCGTGACGGGACGGACGCTTGCTTACGTACGCTCACACCACACGTACCCTGTAGACTCACAACTCAAGCCCGCCACCCCCAGGTGAGCACGACACCCTCGCTCAAGACCAAGGAGACCAGGGTCAACGGCAAGAAGTGCACCCAGGTGCTCGGCGTCCCCGCCGACAACTCGCAGTGGGCACAGCAGGCGCTGCGCGACGCCAGGTTCGACCTGGACCGCTACCGCAGCTGCCTCACCTCCGTGGACCTCTCCACCGAGGCGGGAGCGAAAGCGATCCTCCCTGCCGGGTCCCTCGTGCTGCTGCCGTATTTGCCGCCTTTCGGCGAGCGCGAGCTCGAGGACATCCTTGGCGGCGACTCCTCGATTGCGCAGCGATACCTGGCTCTGTGCGTCCTGCACGCGGAGATGCGTCAGATGGAGCTGCTCATCACGGTGCTCGAGCGGGAGCTGACCCAAAAGCTCGAGAGCACCAGCTCCGGCAAAGTCGCGGCGATCGACACGTTTAACGCCGCGATGTCGGACGTGGGCCTGCAGCTGCGGCACAAGCTGACCATGAGCAACGACACGAAGAAGCGCTACCCGGCCGCCTTCGACGGCAAGGACTCCCGCGCCTTGCGCAATGACTTTTTGCTCATCGAGGAGGGAGGGAGGGGCGCCTCGAGGTTCTTCACAGCGCTGGAGACGGCGCTGCGCGCGATCGGCAGAGAGGACGCGATCGCCGGCCTCGACGGGCTGGCCCGCACCGCGCTCTGCCTGGCCAAAGCCCTCCGCCTCATGCGCCTGAAGCCGGCCGAGATGCGCAGCTATGCGGGCGGCCCAGAGCAGGTGTATCGCGACTTCGAGCGCGCGTCGTCGGAGTTCTGCGTGCGCTGGACGGGGGGCACGCACGGCCTGCAGTTCAAAGGCTACGGGTGGCATATGTGGGCCTCGCTGCCGGAGCTCTTCCGCAGGTACGGGTGCCTCGAGCTCATCAATCAGGACCCGATGGAGCAAACGGTCCAGCGGATGGGCGAGGCGATTGCCAAGTGTCAGCACGGCGATTGCGGAGGCGCTCGGAGGAAGGGGGTGAGTGACGAGGAGCATCAGGCAGATCTCGATGCGCGGAGGGCGGCGGCGCGCACCCAATCTCACATCCTCTACAACCACATGCAGCAGCATGCGATGGACACGGTGTCTGCGCCGATCCCAAACGACAAGGACACCAACCGGTCGCTGATCGACATTCGGCTCGCCATCGACAACGCGAGGTCGGAAGGCAAAGTCATCACCTACGCGCAGTACGTGCAGTACTGGTACCGCTGGTTCAAGAAGCGCGGGTGGCCGCAGAGAAGGCTGGCTCGCTTCCAGCAGGAGCTTCGCGCCAAGTGGGCCGCCGCTATGGACACGGACTAGGTGTGTGTGTGGGTGTGGGTGTTACGTTGGCGGCGCGCGTACGGTGCGTAGTATGTACGTTTTACGTGGTACGTCGTGAGTACGTGTGTGAAGCAGGCTGCTACAATGCTCACCTTCTCTCCCGTCGAGTTGCGGTCGCCGCTCGCTCCTCGCGCAAGTCAAGGCGGACTGCTCGGCGAAGGGGTGCGCAGCGCCCCCAGAGGCCGCCACCGCCGCCGCCGCCGCGCCTCCGAACCATCTGCCTTCGCCTCGGCGGACGCAGAGGTGGTGAGTGCCGCGCCGGCTCGAGCTGCCGCCAGTCTCGGCGCCTCGCGAGTCGCGAGGGGGCCGAACATGGCGCGCGCGGGTGACGTAGGGGCGATCGCGCGTCGCCCCGGGGACGTCCGTGGCCGCAAGACTCGCTTTTCTCGGGCAGAAAGCTCGGGATCGGCGAGCGGGGCAGGCCTAGGCACGCGCTCCGCCCCCCACGACATTCCAATGGAAATCGATAGGTTTGAGCTCCCAGACCCGACCACCAAAGCAACAGGCTGGGAATGGGGCGTCTCACAATTTGGTGCGAGAGACGGTCTCAGACCCCAAAGAGAATGCAGAATCTAATGTTTTTTCACACACAACACAGACACAGACACTGCGCTCCCCTCAGCTCCCGCGCTGGCAGGGAGACGCGAGCCCTGACGGAGTCCGGTGGTGGGGGCCCGCCACGCAGCTATAGCGCCGCCCTGCGCTGACATGGTTCGTGCTGAGCCGCCGCCGCCGCTCGCTCTCGAAGAGCGTCGCGCTGCTGCCCGTTCCCGGAGCGCAGAGCGCGAGTTTGGTGGTCAGGGCCTCGCCTGAGGGGGGGGGGGGAGTGAGGACGTCACCGAGCGGGTGGGGCTGCCGGGAAGGTGGTGGGCGGGCGTGGATGCACCTCAAGTACGAGCGAGTAGCGGAAAGACCGCCCGCTACTCCGGCGGAAGAGTGCTCTCCCGCCGCCCCCTGGGTCACCCCGAGTGACCTCGCAGCCCACGCCGTGAGGCGCTGCTGCTGTCAGGGGATGTTGGGGGCGTGCAAAGCGGCTGGGAAGAGACGGCCAGGCTCCTCGCGGGCAAAAGACTGACGTGGCCGCCGCATTCAGCCTCCGGCGGGCCTCCGGCGGACGCCTGCGGCGTGACGCTCCGCGCGAACAGCCCCGTCTCGGAAGCGCTGCGGGACGGCCTCGCTTCAGCGTGCGCCTGCCGGGGTGGGGTGGTCACCAGATGAAATCGCGGCCGCAGCTGCTTCGAGGGGTGATTGAGGCCGGGCAGGAACGGCTTCTCCCGAGGTGCCCGCATCGAGTAGGCCGACGCCACAAGCAGGAGGGCTGCGTGGACCTCCTGGGCCTTCTTGGTCGGGTCGCTCCTCCTGGCATGGCGCTCGGCCTGCGAGCACGGGCGGAGCGAGCGGTGAGCGGGCAGTGTGCCGCCGGGCGGGGAGCTCCGTCACCCTATCGCGGAGCTCTGGTCCCGCCCCTGGGCCGGGATGCGACCCACAATAAAACCCGTCCCACCCGAAGCGCATCTGCCGGGAACGGCCTCCTCGAAACGGAGGCGCGGCGCGGGCGGCGCGCGGGGCAAACGGGCGCACCTTGGGGGCTCCGAGGGGCTTGCGGACGGGCTTTCAGGCCAGCCGCGGACCGGCGCCGGGTTCTCTCCGCGCCGCGAGCCAGGCGGGGCCGAAGAGGAGGACGGACCGCTCAGTCTGCCATCGTGGCTCTGTGGCCCCCGAGAGACCTCGCAGGCAGGTTCAGACCCCCTGGGCTCTAGGGGCCAGCCGGGGGTTGCCTCCCTAAAGGCGCCCGGAGAACCTGAAGCTTCCGCCCGCATGTCAAGCGCAGCCACACCGCCGCAAGCGCAACAAGCCGCGCCGGACGCCACCCTTGCAGCAGAACGAAGGGTCACCTACCTCCTGGACGACCACATTGGGGTGCACGCGTCGCCAGAGGCGTCGCTGCGCAAGCCGCACACCGTCCGGCGCGCAGAGCCCGCACAGAGCCCGCACAGAGCTCTGCACAGCCTGCGCAAGGCCTCGTCGCCCACCCACTGCCTCTCCACACACCGTCAGGCTGACCGACAACCTGGTCGTCGACTGCGGGCTGGACAAGCACATGACCATGGTGCGGAGCGGCGGCGACGGCTGGTCGCCAGCGCCTGCCGCGACGGTCCGCCGCTACCACACGGACGCGTACGTCGCCTTTCTCGAGAAGATTGAGCTGCACGGCAAGGAGGTGGCCAATGAGGCTGCAAACTACGTGCTCAACAACTCGGTCTGCTTCAGCGAGACGGCCTGGTGCGGCCGCGCCTCTCTGCGCCTCTGCGCGCCTAGCACTTGAGCAGATGACAATCTCCCCATGACTGCGATATCGTCGCGGTATCTCATCGGATGGGGGTCCCCACAAGCACGGTAGTAGCTGCGGCGGCGGTGTGGGCAGTGGTGTGTCCTGTGGCATGGCGGGCGCCGTCCCAAGCGAGCCGCGGCTCTCTGCCGCAAGCTGCGGCCGCGGGAGGCCAGCCACCTACCGAGGCCACCTCGCCCCCTCGGCGTGGCGCAGGCCGTACGCGCAGATCTACGCGGGCGCATCCATGCACGCCGCCGAGCTCCTCGCCACCGGCAAGGCGGACATCGCCATCAACTGGAGCGGGGGGCAGGCGCCCGCTGCTGCCACTGCTGCCGCTGCTGCCACCATGACGCTTCCCCAACTCTCACCCTCGTGTTGGTGACCGCCGCAGGCGCACGCGCGGCGTGACTGCGCGTCGGGCTTCTCGTACGTCAATGACGTGCCGCTCCGCGCGCCGCCGCGCAGCCCAGCCCAGGGCACGTCCACGACACGTCCACGGCACGTCCTGCCATAGGTGGTGCTGGCCGTGCTGACGCTGCTGCAGAGCGTCGAGCGTGTGCTCTTCATCAACGTGGACTCGGTGCACGCGTCGGGCGTCGAGGAGGCCTTCTACACCACCGACCGCGTCATGTGCGTCTCGCTGCATCGCCACGGCGACGGTCTCACGCGCCATAGATGCGTGCAACGAACCCGCGGGCATCGCATCCCACGCCTTGCTGTTGCTGCCTCCCCGGCCCGAGTGCTCGCTCCCTCCCCACACACTACTCCACTCTCCAGCGCCCGCGGCCGTGCCATGCAGGCTACTTCCCCGGCTCGGGCGGCGCAAAGGACGCGGGCGAGCGGGCGGGCAAGGGGCACAACATCAACCTTCCCGTCGAGCGCGGCTTCAGCGACGCCGACCTCGAGGCCCTGCTCCCGCCCGTCGTCGAGGCGGTGAGGCTTCCTGGAGACGCTAGACACTTCCTAGACACTCCCTCCCGCCCGTCGTCGAGGCGGTGGGACTGCTCCCCCCTCCCTCCCCTCCCTCCCCTCCCTCCCCTCCCTCCCCTCCCTCCCCTCCCTCCCCTCCCTTCCCTCCCTTCCCTCCCTCCCCTCAGACACACCGCCCTGACTGGGCTGGCAGCGTGGCGGGATATTGCGGGGGGAGATGCCTCACCTGCTGCTGCTGCCTCCTCAGGCGGCCGCCCGCTACCAGCCTGCTGCAGTGGTGCTGCTTGCCGGCACGGGCTTGCTCTCTGGCGACCGGCTCGGCTGCATGAACGTCACGCTGGGCGGGTACAGCAAGGCGGTGGAATGCGTGCTCGCGCTGCGCAGGCGCCGAAGCCGCCTGGTCGGCGGTGCCAGGCGGGAGCGGCGTCTCTTCACAGCCTGCAGCCGTGAGCAGGCCTACGCTGCTTCTCGGCGGAGGGGGGTACACGACTTCGATCGCGACGCGAGCTTGGGCGGCGGCGACTTCCCTCGCGTGCGGCGCGCCACAGTCTAGATGCCCCCGGCAAATCAACCACCGCACAGACCACGCACGCACGCACGCTGCGCACGGCAGGTTCGGTGTGCCAGTAGCTCTGGAGTCTCTCGGGTGTCACCGCGAGTCGCAGGAGTCGGCGGGAGTGCGACGCGCGCCTGCGCTCGCACCTTCCGGCGCGTGACTGTCTTCTTTTGCTCTAGGCGCGGCGCCGCTCCCCCTCGCTGAGCTCCGGCGTGGCCACGGGAGCCGTGCTGCTGAGAGCGCTCGGTTCCTCGCATCGCAGCTCTCTCTCTCGGGTAGGCCCGACCACCCCTGCCCGCAGCAGCTGTCCGAGACCGTCATGGGGAACGAGAACGGCGCGGCTACAGCTTGCCGCGACACTCCGCGATAAAGGACAACTCGGTGAGAAGCAGAGGGGTGTGAACAGGTGCGGCCGCGCTTGCCGCGACGCGAGAGGCGGCGCTGGAGCGGATCGCGTCGACGCCCGCACGAGACCCTCCTGTTGTGCCGTCGCCGCCCGCCGCCGCCGAGGTGAGGGTTGGCGTGGCGGTGGTGGCGGAGGTGGTGGGGTCGGGGGCGAGGGAGGTGGTGGCGGCTCTCAACTCTCTCCGACACCCCTCCTCCCCTTCTCGCTTCTGCTCTCACCCTCCCGACCGTCCCTAGCCCCCCAACTTATCCCCCGCACCTCTCCTCCGCTCCTTCAGGCGTCCCTGCCCGCCGACGGTGCGGCGCCGGCCGGTGCGGCAGCCTAGACACGGAGCACCGACCCAGATCTAGCCGAGACATGGCCGCCGAGACATAGGCGAGATATAGCCGGTGCGGCAGCCTAGACACACAGCACGGACCCACGGATGCGTCGAGGGGCCAGTTCAAATGTAAATCGCATTCGACGCCGCTGCAGCTTGCGCAGTCACGCAACGCTCCCAAGCACACCGCACGATGCCGGTACCCCGCCCTCAGCTCGTCGCATCTCACACACCAGGAGCGGCAGACAAGACGGCGGCGGCGGGTGGGAGCGACCCAGCGGCTGCCGAGGCGTCCAACGGCACGCCGTCCGCCGCCGAGCCGCAGCCTGCCGCCGCAGCGCAGGCGCCCGCCGCAGCGGGCGGAGACGCGCCACCGCCCGCCGCCGCCGGTCTTGCCGCCTCCGCGCCGCCCGCCGCAGCGCCCGCGCCGCCGCCGTCCGAGCCGGCCAGCGCGGCCGGTGTGCCGCCCGCCGCGCCCGCGGGGGCGACGGCGGCGGAGCCGATGGACGTCGACTCACCGGAGCCGCCGCCGCAGCACCTGCCTCCGCAACAGAGCGGCGGCGAGGCGGCCGCCGCTGGCATCGTTTGACGTCTGACGTTTGGCAGGCGAGAGGTGTGCTCGAGTATCCGCTCCCTGCTCCTCCCTGTTCTGCCTCTCGCTGGTGCCGAGGGCTTGGACGCGCTGTCCCCCCGACGACGCGCCACGCAGAGTCTTGAGAGTCAACAGCGCGCGACAGAGGTCCATGTCCATGTGCATGCGGTGGTGGGGAGCGTGGCGAGTGCCCCCGGGCGAGTGCCGTCTGCCGAGGGCGTTTAAATATTGAATTTGTTTTTGAAGAGATAGGAGCTCGAGGAAAGGAGACAAATGTGACACACAAATCTCGGCAACATCTCCCGTTCAAAACTAACCATCCAAACTTCTACCACAGACCGGGGCTTCCCGTCCCTCTGTACCTCGGCTCGCGCCTCCCTCGCGCTCGCCGCCGTCCTCGCCCGGTCGTCTCGGCACCCGGTACGCGAAGAGGCAGCTCGACGCGTCGGGAGACCAGCGGGAGGTCTCGACGAACGTAGTCCCCACCGCGGGGCCGAGCGCGTGCGAGGGCAGAGGGTACGCGTTCGCGACGACGAGGGCACCCTCACGCAGGCCTGCGCGCAGCGCGTCGCCTGTTCACAGCGTTCGGGCTTCGCAACTCTTCTGCCTCCCCAGCAGCGGGAGGGAAGCGGAGAGGGCGTCGCCGAGCCGCGGCATGATGGGCGGCACTCCGTACACGAGCACGACGTCCGCCTAGTCTCGGGTGATCTCGAAGTCGGGGGCCGCGCATGCAGCGGAGCATGCGGCTGGAGCTCGATGACACGGAGAGAGGCAATCTGCTAAACGCCGCATCTAAGGCCGCGCCTCTGCGAGGGCGGCCTCCCATAGCGAAACCTCAAGAGTCCTCTCTTCCGGCCGGCCCGCCGAGACAAGGCGCGAGTAGCGCACGAGCCACGGGTTGAGCTCATACCCGGTCGCCCTTCCGTAGCCGCCCGTCCGCGTCGCAGCGCGGATTAGCGCGCCGTCTCCAGAGCCGAGGTCGACGAGGTGCAGGTCGCGTGCGCGTGCGCCGGGCGCGAGCAGCGAGCGCGGCGAGCCCTCGCGCAGAATGCCATCCTTGCCAAAGAGTACCTCGATTTTTGCTGCCGCCGTCCGAACCCACGGTGCGCCGCGGCCGAGGCCTGCGAGGATCGCCGAGTGGCCGAGGACGATATTGCCAACGGCGAGCGCGCCGCCGGCAGCAAAGACGGCGGTGGTGGAGGGCGGCATATATACATAATATGTACCTCAATGTGTTTGTAAATGGTCGCGGGGCCGAGCAGCTGCCAGCGAGCGCTTTGCAGCGAGCCGTCTTATTACCAGGCTGCAACCCTAGTCTCGCACTGTGCTGTGAACGCTGCTGGTTGGCGTCGGTTGCGCAGCACCCCGTCCTCATCCAGGTTGTTGGTTGCTGCCCCAGGTCCCGCACTATGTAGTGTAATGCCCCGTTCCCTGGTCATGCTTGTTCGGGTACGTGTTTCGCCCGTCCCTGCCTGTGTCCGTCCACGTCGCCCGTCGGCAAAGCCGACGACCTATGGTGCAATACACGCCGCTGGTTGGGGAGGACGCGCCGCTCGATGCTGCGACGGCGCTGGCGATGCGGCTTCCTGCACGCGGTCCCGGCGGGCAGGCGTGGCCCACAGCTCTTCGGCTCGCTCCGCTCGCCGGCGAGTTGGTTGGTTGCTGGCAGCACCCCAGCACCGGGGGGTCCTGAGAGCTGCTGGTTGCCGCTCTGTTCACAGCACAGTGCGAGACTAGGGTTGCAACCTGGTAAAAAGACGGCTCGCAGCTAAAGCGCCGGCAGATTTGTTTTTTGTTTTGGTCCTACTCGAGTGGGAGACGGCCGAGGTTCTCGAGCTCCCCTCAGTCTTGTCTTGTGGTTCTGTGTGTCGCTCCTGTGTGACCGTCACCGCCCGTCCCGCGTCCACCCATACCGCGTTGGTGTCCCAGTCAGTCGTTGGTCGGAAGACTGTGTTTCGCGCTTTCGCCTTCCTATTTATTCTATGTGTGTATGTTGACATACCTCTCTGGACAGGGTGGCCCGCCACAACGACCCCTGGAATTGCGACTCGCCGCTTTCCTCCCGCTGTGATTCTGTGTGAGCTCTGTGTCTTGATTTGCCAACAATATACCTACACACATTGTGATTGAGGTGATGAGGAGTCAGGCCGCGCGGCGGGCGGCGGGACGGACGTAAGATAATGAATCGATGATTCGATCCGGCGTAACAAGCGCGATTGCACAAGGGGTGGAAGAGGGTCTGGCCACCGCGGGGCGAGGGAGGCGGTGGGCCAGATGCCGGATCCGCTGTGCGCGTTCGTCGGTCAGGGCGCGGCGCTGACCGCGGCGGCCGGGGCCGCGGCGGCGGCGAACGCCGACGGCGGCGGACCATTCCAGCGGCTCGGCGAGGGCCGGGGCGCGGCGTTGCGGGAGGCGTGGACGGCGGAGGCGGTGCACACCGTGCCGCGGAAAGGCGGGCGGCGGCGGGCGACGCCGACGAGCTGTTCGTGTACGCCCGTCCGCTCAATGTACAATGACAACGTATGTATGTTGATAGGTAGGGAGCAAGGGAGGGAGGTGATGATGAGTCACCTTAGTGGGCGACACGGTAGCCGCGCGCTTCTCCCGCGCGCTACTCGCTCATGGCAGCCGCGCCTTGCCTGGCCCTCCCGCCTCGACGGAGTTTTGTTGTAAAAATTCTCGAGCTGGGTTCGCGGAGAGAAAACACGTTCTACCGGCTGGCTACCTATCCAGTGTGGGTGTGGGGGTCTGTGGCACCTCAAACCCCGCCCTAACTTTAGTATATACCTATCCACCCGACCACCCTCCCTTTTCAGCGGAACCCTACGCCCTATACGGGGAAAGGAGCCCGAACCCTCTCCCGTCTCCGTGTCGACGTACCAAGACAAACTTGGCAAGCTGCTCCTCCAAGATGAGTGCGCTCCACGATGCACGAAGTGCTCCCCCGCGGGCGGGAGGGGCGGAGGCTCCCATCTCCGGACGCTCCGCCCACGTACTGGGTTGGGTTTTTAGGCGATTTGTGGGGTTGGCAGTCCCATGTAAGTCTGGTGCACTGGCAGGAGCCATACTCGCATAGGGGACGCGTGCTAGCTGACTGTAGCCAGCTTCCCGGCCCCTCCGGCGTCTACCGGGAGGCTGCAGCCTCCCGGTACGAGCTTGGGAGCTCTCCCGCACACCGTTTAAGCGTTTATAAGACCGTTTAAGGAGTCGGCGGCCCAGGCTGCCTTAAGACGGGCCATGGCCCGTTTTAAGCCGTTTAATCCGCAGGCGCCCCAGGGCCCACCCTTAAGCCCAGAGGGGTCCCCTAAGAGCGAGTTGGCAGTGCCACCCAGGAGGCCAGGAGTAGTCGGGCGGTCTCCCGTCAAGCGAGAGAGCCATCGGCAATGTGTGATCCGTATGAATCGGATGATTCTCCTGATAACCGCCTCAGCCACCTCTCGTCACAGTTTTCAATCAACAGCTAGCAAGCTAGCTGTTCAAGCTGTGTCTCGCCGGTGTGGCTGTGCGCGGCGACGCCTGCCTCCGGCGTCCGGGGCGCAGGGGGGCCCCGAGCCCGCCGACGCCCGGGAGGGGGGCGAAACCGGTGGCGGTGCCTCTGATGAGCTCTGTTTGACTGTTTCTGAGAGCTGGACATTTTCGTATGCGTTGGTATCTCGGCGCCTTCCAGGAGTGACGTGTCATGCCAGTGCCATGCAGGGTGCGCACACACTCCGGGGTATTTTGTTCAGAATGAAGTTCTGAAGAATTCATCACGCATCAACCTATCTCCTCCCGCCTGCGACGCTCGTCGGCAGCAGCGTCGCGCGAGCGGCGGCCGCCTTGACGAGGAGGTACGTGTAGACGAAGGGGCCGTAGAAGACGCCATAGTAGATTGGCAGATCGAGCCACTCGGTCGGCAGGCCGAGGTGCTCGAACGCTTCGCCAACGCCCAGCAGCGCCGCGGCGACGAGGAGCGAGAGGAGCGGGCACAGCGGCAGCATCCGCAGCGTCGCGCTCTGGAGTTCGGCCGCAAAGTCGGCACGGCTGAGCCGGCCGCGTCCGACCGTGTCGAGCCACAGCGTCCCGATGAAGAAAAACGCAATGAGCGGCGCCTTCAGCAGCGGCGGGATGCGCAGGCCCGCCGCCGCCGACAGGGCACGGGCCGAGCCGCTGAGCCCGAGGGCCAACACGCGCACGAGGAGCTGCAGTGCGGCAGCCGCGCCGCCGCTGACGATGGCGCGGCGGCGCGAGCCGTGCAGCCATTCCGAGCCGGCGTACGTGAGCAGGATCGATGTGGCGATCTCTGTCGGCGCCATGCGCTCAGAGTGGAAGGCCGGTGGCGGCGGGACTACGCAGGAGTGTGGGTGTTCGCTCTCTCGTAAAGCCTCGTGCCGCGCAGACAGGCGGTGGGCGGCGTCAGCACAGTCCGCGCCTTACACAAGAGGGATTTGGCATATGTGTATATGTGTGTGTATGTGTATCGAACAGACAGCCCACGGCCTCAGTGGAGGGCCGCACGGGGAAAAATAGCGTCGAGCACGCCGGCCCTGGATGTGAGGCTAATGACTGCACTCCAAGTGCTCCAAGCGCTGCAAATATCCCGGGGCTCAGCTTCCTAACTCCCTCCCTTGACGTCTCTTTTTTCTTTCTTTTTAGCTTCCTAACTAACTAACTGGCTGGGAAGCCAGAGAGAGAGAGAGAGATTGATGATTGTTGTTTGAAGCCAGTGCGCGCCAGTCCGGGAGTTGCGTCGTAAAAAATATTTCAGACACAACACTAGGCACGGGACCACGGGCGCGCACCCACGGGCAACAAAACAAAACAAATCTCTCTCTCCCACGGGCGCGGGGTGAAATTCTCAAAAAGGTGCAGCACTTCTAGCCGACATCGACAAAAGTCCCTCTCTGGCCCCGCGGCGAGCGGCCCCGCCGGAGGCGAAGAAAATTTCGCCATCTAGCGCTCGCAACACATAGATTTGACAAACACATGCATAATCAACACCTCCAATCTTCCCGGGGAGTGACGGATAAAGGCGTGCGAAAGAGCTATGAATCCGAAAGCAGCGAATCAAAGTGATGGCCCGCCGCAGGCGAAGAAAATTTAGGGTGGGTTCCCCTATCTTATGCCAAAGAACTCGAGGATTTCGGCGGCCGGCGCCGAGCACAGCGGTTCGCGCTGCCTGTATGCTCGCGCTGGCTACACCGTTGCTGTGGCCGTCTTCGTCCGTATTGTACACCGAGCTGGCGCCACAGCAGAGTACAACAACGGCTCGGACGAGCTGCTCCACGGTACTACATCATCAGAGGGCCCGGCAAGGTCCACGGCGGAGCTGGCAGTGGTGGGAGTGGTGGTAGGAACGAAGGCGCACCTGTCGGCGATTCACCGCCGTTCGTTCCCGTCTCTCAAAGCTGGTTACACCGTCGATGCGCACATCGAGGCGCTCGTGGACGAGAGAGACGTCGCCCTCCTCTTTCGTCCCGGGGCACTGTTCACGCCGGAAGGCCCCGTACACTGCCAAGTACATTAGCCTTCATCTCTCCTACCGCCGGCCGGGAGTGCAGCCGCCACCAGTGAGATTGTCCTCGACGTTGGCACCTGCGAAGTAATGAACAACAGGCAGTGCGTCATATGGCGCTATGATAGCCCTGCGGTGGACGTCCTCGACGCAGACGAGGCGGAGCTCATCTGCGCGGCGCAGATCCGGAGATCGCCGACTGTCTCTCTCTCCTGCGCGAGTGGTTGCACCACCCTGGATGAGGCATCTGGGCTGGGGCAGGGCCGTTAGTAGAGGAGGTCGACTGAGGGCGCGAGGCCACCAATCGTCAAAGTCTGCTGCTGACTGACTGTCAGTCACTGACTGAGCAATCGCATCGGCGGTACTAGTAGGGTTACTACGAGGTCTCTGCGCGGGATGGGCTGGGGCCCTGCGCCCCAGTCGATTGCCGCATAGTTCGTCGTAGTAGCCCTATCATAAACCTCTTATTCACACCTTGCACTTTGAAAAAAGAAATGTCCGACTTTTGTCGAAGATCCGGAGGGTTTATCGGAGCATCACCCCGCGCACCCTGGCACTAACACAGGTTGTCTTCAAAATTCTTTGTCTCTCTCGCGAGACCGAGAGAGATTGTTGTTGTTGTTGTTCTGTCGCGAGAGAGAGAGATTTTAGAAAACCAACAAGAAATCACGACTCGCACAGTGATTTGGGCTCGGCAGCTTGTCAGCCCTCAGCCGAAGCTGGGGCCGGTCCCGTAGCCTCGAGAGAGCCCGCGCCGATGAGTTCGACGCGGTGGGGGGGGCCTGCGGAGAGGCCAGCGAGATGGCGATCGCTGTACTTCATGGCGCCCTCAAAGTGGGGCTGGCTGACAAGCCAGAGGTCGATAACGACCCATAGGATGCCACAATGCCTGGAGGAGAGGGAGGCGAGGCCAGAGGCAGGCTCAGCTGCTCTCAGGTGATCTCGCTTTGGTGGCTGAAGGACCCGATGGTCCTGTCACATTCGTGTTCCGAGTCGTGGGGGTAGAAGTAAGAAGAATTCGAGTAGAAATCGAGTCAGCACTTCCTTGTAGTACAGCGGACCGCCAGGCTCGCCGGCAGCATCCGCAGGGAGGCAGCATATGAGGCACCAGTTTTCTGGAGAGCTCGACAGCTGCGGCCGCGATGGCAGAGTCGGCCGCGGTTCGAGCGAGCAGCTTTTGGCTGCGGGATCGAATCGCGGAAGGCTCATGCCCTCGCGGAGCGACGCGGGTCGCGCGGCGCGCGCGTGTGCGAAATGCGACAACAGACGACAGATGATAGACGCCTGAGCGCTGTACGCCTGAACTTTTGTGGCCGCAATCGCCACCGCCGCCATCTTGACGAGCAGCGCGAGCGCGCTCGTCGGCGGCCAGCCGTCGCGGGCCGGGCCGAGCCCGGCCTCGACCGGCCGCGCCGCCGCAGCATTTCTTCTCTCTGTCGCGTGAGAAAGAAAGAAAGAATTTTACAACCAAATCTCTCGCACACGCACGTCCCGACGACCAAGGGTTAGGGTGGGCGAGGGCTAACACCACACTCCTCTCCTTAAAATCCCTGTGTGGTGGCGGCGTGCCGTCCTCCCATCCCTCCCGCCTTGGGTTGTCTGTTTTCTTTCTTTTTGCACGATTCCCGACACACCTTCACGTGGGGGGGGGGGGGGGCTAGCGCAGAAAACCAGGAGGGATGAGAGAGATATGACGTGTGAGTGTTAGAGTTGTTTGGAGGGATGCGGATGGGAGCATGGGAGGACGGCACGCCGCGCCACCACACAGGGCTGAATCGTGAATCGTGTGCTGCCCCTTCTTTTCTAAAGTTTTCTAAAGTGCTGGGCCAGAAGACCGGCCCGCGCGCGAGGTGGGGTGCTAGTATGAGCCTGACCCAGCACCAGGTCGTAGTGTTCTTGCTCCAAGTGCTTTTGCGCTTCACGGCGGTTAGTGGTGCACTAACCTCCGAGAAACAGAGCCCGCGCCGATGAGTTCGACGCGGTCGGGGGGGCCTGCGGTATACAGTGAGAGAGTGACAGTGAGAGAGACACTGGAGAGAGAGAGAAGTCGAGAGAGAGTACACTACACACAGAAACCACACGCGGTTAGCCGGGCCTGCCTGCTACACGATGGTCATTCTCAGAGTTCTGTCTGCGTGCCGCCTTTGCTGCCTCCAGCTTGGAGCCGGCAGTAAAGAAAGTGGGCGGCGGCGTTGCGACGGGGACGGCGGCGGGCGGCGGCGGCAGGGGGCTGGGGGGGTCGGCGATGCCGAGGTGTGTTAGGCGAATTCAACAATGAATTCTTTAGCGCACTTCATCTCTCCCTTCTTCGCACAGTCCTCTCATATGTTTTTGGGCCTGACTTCGGCTGTGTCGTCTCTCTCCAGCGCATCTCGCGTCCGGTTCTCGCATCTTATGTCGCCAGTCAGAGCCTTGGCCACCGCCGCCGCCGAGCCTGACGACAAGGAGCCTGACGCCTGCGAGCTGATTGGCGAGGAGCCTGCGACGGGAGTCCAATGGTGGGCCTGCGAGGAGCCGAACGATGCACTCGCCTGCGAGGAGACGGAGTTTGGCGTAGGCGGTGGGCCGGGTATCCTGCCTCAGGACGGGCAGGTCCTGTGCAAGTCGTCGCCTCCCAAGCCGGAGCCCGCCACCTTCTTCGGCGTGACCCTCCCGCCAATGCCGTGGGACAAGGCTAGCTGATGTCCGGTCTGGCGCCTGGGTCTCGCAGTCTGAGAGTGTCGCCACCGCCCGCGGGTGCGGTAGCTTCACCGCCATGTCGCATGATGCATATCTTTCTGTCTCGAGCGTGTCGGCTGGTGGGGTTCACGCGACCCCCCCGAAACAAGCTCACTTGCATGTATGAAACATACACGTCGCGGAGAGCGGCTCGATTAACTGTACACTAATGGCTCGCTCAGTCTGCCGCGGGCGGAACCGTAGCGGCGCCGCCCGCCCAGGGGTCCTCCATCTGGCATGCCATCTCCTCGGCGGCGGGTTCGAGGACCGCAACCACCGGGAGCGAGGCGGTGCGCATGCTGCCGCCCCGGCCGGCGCTTGCGCGAGGGGCGCAAGGGCCGACGCTGATGCCTCTCTGCGAAAGGGACGAAAGCAGCGCCTGGCGCTGGCGGCGGCGGCGGTGACACCGAACTACGCAAGCTGCTGCGGCGGCGGCGAGAGCGACAACGGCGGTCGCAATCAGCGCGACCTCTGCGGCGTCGCCGGCGGAGAGGCCGCCGCGCTGCGCCGCCTCGTAGTAGCTCGGCCGCGGCGGAGGCAGGCGCGACGCGTGTGCGACGTGGCGGCGCCTAGCAAGTGCCGAGAAGCGTCCAAGACATGTCCTGGACGTGTCCGGGAGACGGCGTGGCGGCGCCTAGCAAGTGCCGAGAAGCGTCCAGGACATGTCCTGGCAAGCGGCGCGTCCGAGGCGCGTGGGCGCATGAAGTGGAGGAGCGCGTCCTGCGGGCGGCATGCGCACGCGCGAGTCAGCATGCGCACGCGCGAGAGAGAGGACAGTGGGCGAGAGAGGGGGAAGTGCCGCTAGGTGCATGTGGCCAACGTCGCGTCGTCTCGCGGGCCCGTTCGAGCGGAGGGGGGTCGGTGCTGCGTCTAGGAAGCGCGGTCCTCGGCCCACGGGGGCGCGTCGTGCCCGCCGCCGCCCCACACGCACTCGACCACCTGATGAGGTACAATCTCGACCGCCGTGAGATGCAGTCGAAAGAGGGATCTCGGCGAATCTCGGCGAACGAATGCATCGCACCTCGGAACCGCCCGCACAAAACTGGTAGCCCACGCAGCCTCTGCCGCCCCACGAGTGCGGCTGTCCGAGCGGTTGTGGCTCGGGCCGGCAGCCGTTCGCCTAGAAGGCTCCTGGAAGGCTCCCGGAAACCTCCCAGAAGGGTCGCGGCGCGGGCGGGCAGACGCCTCAGCCCACCGGGCTGTGACTGCGCGCGCCGCCGTGTACCTCCAGCCCCCGGCGTAGCTCGTGTCGACTGCCACGCCGTCGCTCGCCTAAAACAGAAAGCAGTCCGGCTTGGAAAGACAGGTGTGGAGAGAAGGTGCCGACCGCCCCGTCGCCGCTTGCGTTGGCGGCGGCGGGAGGGACCGTCGTGTCTAGCTCGCCCCACACGCCAAAGAAGGCCGCCTGCCCGCAGGGACAGTGTGAAGAGGCGCTGTTCACAGCCCGCCGCACACGCGCGAGCAAGGCCGCCGGCGGGTGCAGCGGCGGCGCGTTGAAGCCGGCATGAGGGGACCCAACCACGGGCGCGTAGCCTGCGAACCGGGCCGGCGGTGTGAAGACAGGAGCGCAGGTGTGAAGACAGGACCGCAGCTGTGGAGGCAGGACCGCAGGTGTGGAGGCAGGAGCAGGCAAGAAGGGTCTGGGGGCGGAGAGCCTGCGAACCGGCCGGCGGTGCGCGGGTCGGAGGCGAGCTCGTACAGAAAGATGGCGCCTAGGACGGCTCTGAGAGGCTCCGAGGAGCTTGCCTCCCAGGGTCCCGGCACAGAGAGATGGCTCTGCCGTTGGACACGCCCGTCGCAAAGACGCGGGACGCATCGACGCACACGTCGCCGAGCAGCTCGTCGAGCAGCGCCGCCGCCTGCGCCGCATGTTGGAGAGAGTGTCGAGGCTTCTTGTCGTGTTGTGTTGTGTTGGCGGTGTTTGGACGCTGGTGAGTCCGCCTGTGCCACGGAGTCCTCGCAGGTCGTCCACCAGCAGGCGTCATCACACGTGCCGCAGGAGGCGTAGCAGTAGCCCTTCGTCCCGGGCGGGTCAAACAGCGAGCCTGCAGGGAATACGAGAAAATCGGAGAGGGTTTGTCAGCTCCTCCACCCTCCCAGGCAGAGCGAGCCCGTCGGGTCGAGGCAGGTGGCGCCGAGCCGGCCTGGAGAGCGTGTGCTGCCGCCGCCGTTCCACGACGGCCACAAATCGTCTGCAAAGCCGGTCGGTGCGGCGACGATGTAGCCGTGCTGCCGCCCGTGCGCGAGGAGCACGGGCCGCTCCGACAGGTTGCCGGCCCACCCGTGGAACGAAAGGACCAGCGGCAGAGGTGTTTTCCCGTCGGCATGTTGTGGCAGCATCAGGCGGTATTGTGTCGGCTGGCCGCTGGCCGGCCGGTACCGCATCGTCCGATCGGAGGAGCCAGGTGAATGTGCGGAGCGGCCACATCCCCAGCTCGGAACGGGGTCCGCCGAGACGCTGCTGGCAAAGGGTTGGCCGAGCATGAGCACACCGGGGTCTTGGGGCTGACGAGGTGTGAACGTGAACAGAGTAGCCACTCGCTGTCGATCGTTACGGCACGCATGGGGGGCCTCCCGGACGTATAATCCTAGCCCAATAAGCTCCACGGAGCAGATTTGGATTTTTGACAGAATTAAATGCACTGCCCCCGCACGGTACTATAACGATCGTAGTTTTGGGGGTGGCGCCCCTCACAGCACCACACTGACGCCGGACAGCCCGAGCTTAGCCTAGCAGTGAGTGGGAATCGCCTGCCGGTCGGCTTGGCACGAGCCAAGCACTTGGGTGGCCGTCAACCGAGTCTGAGCGGCGCCTGAGGTGGGTGCCACGGCGTCCGCACGAAGGCGTGGCGGGGTGAGGAGCCAGGGGTGGTGAACACCTCCCCGACGGGCGCGCGGCGCGCCGGATGGTCCGCCGAGGCCGCCGCCGCCCCGGCGGCGGCGATGGGGGCGGCGGGGCCGACCCGGCCGGCGTTTGTCGGCTCCACCTACAGAAGAGCAGTCTCTGTGGGTCGACGATACTAACTCGGTAGTAACGCTGAGCGGTGCTGTGCGACGCCGCGTCGTGCGCGAGGCGACCTCCTGAGGCTACCTGAGCTGGCAATGGATGCCACCAGGGCGCACGGCTAGCAGGAGCCAGTCGAGCATGCCCTGCTGTGGAGCAGAGCCTGCTGGCGCACCGGCGATACTAACTCAGCGCGCCGCGAGAGGCGAATCTGGGCGACTTTGGAGGCGCAGTTCTCGAGGTTGCCGTCGACGATTGATGTCGGGTAACTTGTCACTGCCGTTCGGGAAGGTCTTCTCTCAGCAGGCCGAGCGCCGTGGCATCGCGCTGCTCGCAGCGCTGTGCGGCGCCGAGAACCCCCAAAACTCGCGAGACCTCGATACTAACAAAGACTACGATACTGGAGGTACCTACCCGGGTAGGTGAGGCGACGAGTATCTCGCCGCGGAAATGGTGAGGTACCGGGTAGAGCACACCGCAGAGCCAGGCGAGACCAATGGGTCCTCAGAGAGGGTTCCCTATGACGGGGTGTTCGCCGCGGGCATCAAGAAACCATACTACTCTCCGCGAAAACCTAATTCATTTTTCTCATTTTTACGACCTGATTGCTAAAAATTCCTACGACCTGATTGCTAAAAATCTCTCTCTGACGACTGACTGACCTGGGGTGCCAGCTGAAGCTAAGAAACCACGGCGTGGGATGGGTGGGGTGTGTGGAAAGGCTTAGAAAGAAACGGCGGCGTGCCGCGAGATCCTGTTTTCTTAATGCCCGCAACAGACTGTAGGGTAGCCGGAAGGGGTCTGTAAGGTAAGGTGTAAGTGACTCGCGCCAAAACGCCCTACCTTGTACCTACCTATCCGCTATCCCCAATTCGCGCAGCGAAGCGAAAATGGCGAAAAATGGCGAAAATCGGGGGTACCTACCTATTGCAGGGCCCTTTTGGCCGTTTTGGGCCAAACAAGATCAACCTACCAACCTATCGGGTGGGAGCTGGGAAATCCACAGCGAGTTGCAACAGACCCCCTATCGCGCCAGCTAGGAGCCCGAATAAATAAATAAATAAATAAATAAATACGGACACCTCTCTACTGTGAGGTGGGTAAAAAAGAACAGGTCCCCGCCCCGAACCCTCCCGCTGCGCTGGTAAAAAACAAACTGGGCGGATGCATATGGGACCCTCTGCGTCCCTGATCGTCCTTCCAAGAGCCTGCTCACGTGCACGTGGTGGGGACCCTGTCGTCCTTCTCTCCCACCCCTTCCGTTTTTGGCGTGCCCGCTTTTTTCTTTACTTAATATATGGGACCCTGGAGCGGCCGCACAACTGCTCGGTACCCCCCCTGCACCCACAACTAAGCTCATGGCCGACCCCCCCCCCCCCGGAGGTGGCGGCGATGGCACCGGCGAAGGCGGCGGGGGCGACGGCGGAGGCGGCGGAGGGGGCAGGGGAGAGAGCGAGGGCGGAGGCGTCGAAGGGGGGAAAGCCAGCGGAGCGCAGTAGCCCCAGTCGCTTGATTGACAGGTGGTGCTCTCGACCATGCACCACTCGCCAGCGGCTTCGCCTTCCGGGTCCCCGCAATAGTCAGTGATGGTCACTCCGAGATACTCGACGCTCCACACCTCCAAGCACTCACAGCCCTCGAGCGTGTATCTTACGCCTGGCGTTGGCGGTGGTGGTGGTGGCGAGGAAGACGTGGAGGGTGGCGGTGGCAAGGGTGGTGCTGGTGGCGGCGGTGACGCGCAAACCACAAACGTGAGGCCAGCGAGCTTGCATTTTCCGCCGGTCCAGCCGCACATCTGGCAGGGGCTGTCAATGCTGCAGCCATCGAGGTAGCTGTCGACAATCGGTGCCTCGACGTAGCCGCTGTTGCAGGCGTCTTCGCCGCTATTCTTGAGTCGCCAGCACCAGTCCATGGTGGAGTAGCTGGGAGCGCCATAGCCGAGCAGCTTGGTCATGCTTGCAATCTCTGGCGGGTCCTTGCAGGGCATGGGTGGCGGCGCGGGCGGCAACGGTGGTGGCGTCGGCGTCGGCGACGGCAGCGGGACCGGTGGCGGGGAGGGTGATGGGGGCGGTGCTGGAGGCGGCGGGGGTGACGGGGGTGGCGACGGCAGGAAGGGCGGCGGCGGCGAGGCACAGTTCATGAACGTCTCGCCTCTGAGCTTGCACTTTCCGTTTGAGTAGCTGCACATCCGACAGCCGTAGGTGCACGGCGCAAAGCTGCCAGAGACAGCTCCGCCCGGGTCGTTGGAGGGATCAACATACGCGCTGTTGCACGCAGAGGCGCTGTGCCGCAGCGAGTAGCACCAGCTCGAGGCGGAATATTGGGCGAGGTAGCCCGCCAGCCGCGTCTTCCCTTCGAGCTCAGAGAGGTCCACGCAGGGCTGTGCCGCGGCCGCGCTCACCAAGCCGAGTAGCATCGCACGTCGTGGAAAACTCGCCATGGAAAACTCTCGTTCGAAGACGTCCACGTCCCGCTTGAATAAGTGTGTACACGAATATGCTCGGCTTTTACTTAGGGCGAGGCGTTTTCCTCGGGTCGACCGCGTCCGAAGAGCGAGGCTGCTTCCGGCCCTTCGCACCGCTGCAGGGTGTGTGTGCTTGGTGTTGTTTGTTTGTCGGCTGCGTGACGGCGATCGGCGACGCACGCACGCGCGCGGTCGGTCGGTCGAGTGAAGATAGATAGATGGACAGAATGACAGATGTTTGGCGTTGGGGCGGAGGAGGTGTGTTTAGCCTTCCTATCAATCAATCAAGGAGGTGTCTCGCGCCTTTGTGAGAGAGAAGTAAGGGAGGCAATATTGGGGTGTTCTTGATGAGGGGCTGGCATCTTGCGAAAAAAGGGAGGGAAAATTGGGGTGTTCGGGGGGGGGGGGGGGAATTGTTTTTCCGGTGTACCTGTTTAGCGCCAGTGCGCGCCAGTCTCGTAAATGAATAAGCAGAGCAGATCGTCCGATCTCGTCCGATGAGCTTGCCTGCGCGGCGAGAGGGCGGTCGAGTGCACGGAGCTAAGTGCCTCGCCGTCCTCGCAGGAGTCGCTTGATATAGGCGGCTCCCGCCCGTGGTGTACCTGACTGAGTTTCTTAGTGCCAGTGTGCGCGCCAGTCCCGAGAGAGAGAGAGATTTTTAGCAAAACCAAACAACTCTAACACTCACACGTCATTTGGGGCAGCCTGGAGCCCTGTTCACGCGCGCGCGAGACGTGCAGACAGGGTTGCCAGGTGAGAGCGAATGGCGCGGTTCACGCCTCGCACAACAGAGAGAGAGATGCGCTCTGCATGGTGGGACATAAAAGAAAGCGAGTACGTGGGCGCGTAGGCCTGTTTGTTTGTTTGCAGTCCCGTGCCTAGTGTTGTGAGAGAGAATGTGTGGGTTCTTTTTCTCTTGTGGTGTACCTGTGTTACCAGTGCGCTTTGTGCTCAGCAGCAGCATGTAGCGCGCGATGATCGCCTCCTCGGTGGGCCGCAAGCACAGGTATTTCACCTTGATGATCTGCCGCAGGTGCACCGGACCCGTAGACTTCGCCTCCAGCGTGAACTTGCCAGCGCCTGAGAAGACGGACTCGACGTTGGCGGCCGCCACCTTCTTGCAGCCCACCTCGGCGATGTAGACCGCGTGGTGCATGCATGACCGAAGTCCCCGGCAAGGAGATGTGCTGTGAATAGTGTCTGAGCCTGTGAGTCTTGGGTCCGTGAGTAGTAGATCTAGGTGTGGCTCTCCAGGGCCTCCCGGGACGGAGGGTGGCTCATACACACTATATGCGCTTCGGCCCTGCTCGGGCGTTCGCTCTCGGCGCTCGCGGATTTGCGAGCCGCCCGCCCGCCGTGCTCTCCATTCAGTCCCACGTCTGCTATGGCGCCGCTGGCAATTCGGCGGCAGTCTTCCCGATGAGGCGGCTAGGGGTTGAGGTTTGGCCTGTCAACACCGTCCAATTCTCGAATCATACGCAGTACGCCGAGGGATGGGAGGGGCTTCCGACACCGACTGAGCAGATTGGTCTTCTTGCCAAGGGCATCGAGCGGATCGGTGCACTCGGCCGGTGCAGCGCAATCCTCTCGGGGTATCTCGGCACCGAGGAGCAGGGCGGCGCTGTGCTGGACGTTGTGCGTCGTGTCAAGGCGGCGAACCCCGCGGCGATCTACTGCTGCGACCCGGTGAGCAGCCCGCCCTCCAAATCGTTTGCAGGAGTCTTCTCCAGTCGATGGGGCAGCCGTAGGTGATGGGCCACCCCGCCAAGGGCTGTGTCGTGCCAGAGGGCGTGCAGAGGCACCATGCCGAGGCCAGCGCCGCTAGACGCGAGTGCAGACCCGTGCACGCCAGCACGAGCACTCGAGATGACATTGTCCAGCTCCGTTGTCCTTGCCAGTCGTGCGATGCCCCGAGTACTGCCGCATATATGTAGTACTCTACCTAACTCCCCGTCCATGCACACCTAGGCCAGCGCCGCGAGCGCCGACGTGCTGTGTCCAAACGTGCTCGAGCTCGGCGTGATGACGGGATCCGAGCCAGACACGCCGCAGGCTCGAGATCTCTCGAGATCACCCGAGATTACCTGAGATCACCCGAGATGACAGGAGATCGCGCCGAGATGACCCGAGATGACCCGAGATGACCCGAGATGACCCGAGATGACCATAGACATCTCTGAGATTAGGCGGTCGTCCGCGCCGCTCGGGCTCTACTTGGCGCAGGCTCCGCCCGCCTCGTGCTGGCGAAGCTCTTCGCCCACGCTGGCCGCTGGTGTAAGCAGCGCCGATTCACACCTGCGGCTGTGAGCAGGTGAAGCACCTCGCCCACGCTGGCCTGTCTCCCGACGACTCGTTCGAGATGCTGCTGGTGGGCCACGAGGAGGCGTGGCACATCGCGACGCCGCTGCTGCCCTTCGGCCGACCGCCCGTCGGTGCGAGAGACTGGGCCCGCACGCTCTTGATTGGTGACTGCGTACTTTGAATGATCCACACTCAAAGGCGTGGGAGACCTGACCAGCGCGCTCTTCCTGGTCGGCTTGCTGCAGGTAGACTGCACACTGCCCACCGCACCTGCTGCAGGTGGAGTATACCACTCCTCACCACACGCTATGCTACCACCCCCTGGTCCTGTCCCCTTGTTCGGCTTGCTGCAGGGCCGCTCGCCCAAGGCCGCGCTCGAGCACACTGCCGGCGCGTATTTCGAGGTGATGCGCGCCACGTCCGAGGCGGAGGAGTACGAGTTGCAGCTGGTCGCCGAGAGTAGCCGAGATTGGCCGAGATTGGTCGAGATTGGGCGGGATTGGCCGAGAGACCGGAGGAGAACGAGTCGCCACGCATGACTGGCCCACATACTGTGAGCTCCCGTTTCACGGCTTCGACTGTGAACAGGTCGCCGCGCAAGACGGGCTAGTGGACCCGCCGCGCTCCTTCGAGGCGATCGCCCTCGACGCTTGAAGAGGCATCCGTGGAACGGAGACTCTTACACTCTGTCTCAGGCCCGCAGGTACCCGCGCCACAGCCACACACGCGCCGGCGGTGCGTCTCTCTGCACTCTGGGCACTGGGGCGCAAGCCCAAGCGCTCGACCCGAGCGCGCGCGAGGCGACAGTCTTTTTTGGTGAAAATTATTTGTTCCCGCCTTGCACTTGAGAGATAGGCTCGGTCGCGCTCTCTCTCCCACTCCCTGCTGCCGCGCAATGGGCCGCCGGCGCGCGGGATCCAAACAGCGCGCGGGCCGCGGCGGCTCTCTGCGCTATAAAGTAGAGTCTACGGCTAGTATGTGACGACAGCGCGCAGGCACTCGCCCGAGTGCAGGGCGTGCACCGCCTCCAGCGTGCCCTCGACTCCCTCGAAGCGGTGCGTGATGTAGTGGTCGAGCTTGAGGTCGCCTCGCTCGTAGTCGTCGATGAGCGGCGGCACCTGTTCACGGCCACACCCGTGAAGAGACCCGCCGCCCACGCCTCGCTCGTAGCCGGTGGAGGAGGAGGCGGCACCTCGGACCGGCTCTTGAAGCCGCCAAAGGCGGTGCCCACCCACTTTCGGCCTGTCACCAGCTGGAAGGGGCGGGTGCTGATCTCCTTGCCCGCCGCCGCGACGCCGATCACGCACGACTCGCCCCACCCCCGGTGGGCCGACTCGAGTGCAGCGCGCATCACCTGCCCACAGTGAGACACGGGTGAAGAGACGCTCACGGCGCCGGCCGGCGCAGCGCGAGTCATCACGTCGGTGTTGCCCGTCGCGTCGAACGTGTAGTCGATCCCCCACTTCGTCATCTCGACGAGGACCTGCTGGATCGGCTTGTCGTGGTCCTTCGGGTTGACGCAGTCCGTGGCGCCCAGCTCCGTCGCCATGCGGAACTTGTCCGGGTTCGTGTCGATGGCGAAGATGCGCTTGGCGCCGCGCATCTTTGCCCCCTGGATCACCGAGAGGCCGACGGCGCCGAGGCCAAAGACAGCGACGCTCGCGCCGCCCTCAACGTCGCACGTGTTCCACACGGCGCCCAGGCCCGTCGCGACGCCGCAGCCGAGGAGCGAGCACGTGTCGAGCGGCGCGGTGTCGGACACCTAGGCGCCCGAGATGGGATAATATGTGATATTTAAGCATATGCAACATATGCAATCTTTAGTGTTGAATACACCTTGGCGCACGAGATGTCCGCCACGACGGTGTACTCCGAGAAGGTCGAGCACCCCATGAAGTGCTTGATTTCTTCGCCGTTGGCGCCGGTGAAGCGGGAGGTGCCGTCGGGCATCACGCCGGAGCCCTGAGTCGAGCGGATCTTTGGGCACAGGTTGGTGCGCTTGCCCCGCGGCGGGTTGCAGAAGATGCAGTCCGGATCGCCGCACCTCGCAAGTGGAGCCTCTCTCTAAGCGGTGCCGCCTCTTCTCTCTCAGATGCGAGGCGGGTGCGGCCTCTGTGCGCGGCGAGCTGCGGCGCGAGCAGGCGAGGCGAGGCACGTGGGCAGGCGGAGGCAAGTGAGCGAGGCGATGCGCACTGCGGCGTGTAGCACGGGATGACCTTGTCGCCCACCTTGACACTTGTGACGCCCTCACCGACCGACTCGACGACGGCTCCCGCCTCGTGGCCGAGGATGGAAGGGAACATGCCCTCCGGGTCGGACCCCTCGAGGGTGTAGATGTCCGTGTGGCACAGCGCGTTGGAGTGCACCTTGAGCCGCACCTCGTGGGCCTTGGGCGGCGCCACGGTGACCTCCTCTATGCGCAGGTCGTTGACTCCACGCGCGACCGCAGCCTTGCACGTTATCGGCTTGCCCGCGAAGGCGGACATGGCGCGCGCCACACAGCAGCCACAGCGCGACGAGGCGAGGGAGCGGGCGGAACGGGCGGTCGAGCGGGCGAGCATAGTGCGTGTAGAGGTGGCCGGGTGTTCCGGTCTGGGGCGCGCAGTTTTATATCCTCTCGCGCGCTGTGAACAGACGCACTTGCCTCGGGGAGGAGTGCGCGATCAGCTGCTCAACTGGGAGGAGGGAGCGGAGGTGCCCGCTGTCCCAGTAATGGTCTTCAACAAGGGTGGGCTCGTCTAAAGGTTCTCCGCTCATTCATGCCGCTCAATCAAAGACCAATCTGCAAATCTCTCCAATCTGCACGGCGTGCGCGGCGCGCTGAGCGAGAAGCAGGAGAGCAGAACGGAGGAGGGGGAGGCGGTGAAGATCTGCGACAGGCTCTGGGACGAGCTCACACCGGCGCAGCGGTTGACTGCTGAGGGCCTCGGCTGGAGCGAAGACACGTGGGACGACGATGATTGGGGCGGCGTGCCGGCGATGGCCTGGGGAGCTGTCGCGGGGCGGGTTTCCCGATGGGTGGCCGAGTGAGGGCCCGAGGGTTGCGGAAGGCGCGCGGCGGGGTCGGCTTCGGGCCGACCGCCGCCACCGGGGGCCGCCGCGCCGTAGCCACCGGGGGGGGGCCGCCGCGCCGTAGAGCGGCCCGCCGGTCTTCCTACCGGCGGTGCGCGCGGCCGCGCTTGGAGGCGCTGATTGCTCGGCCGCGCGGGGCTGGTTGACTCGCCCGCTGGGAGGGTGTGGTGCACGGGGTTTGCGGCGGGGTCCCCAACGTCCCCGGGGAGGGCGGCCGTCAGGCCGCCGCGACTGTCGGCGTGGCCGCCCTCCCTTTCTTGGTCTTGGCAAGGTTGGTGACAGACTGATCCTCCTCTCTCTCCCTCCCTCCCTGCTCTCTCCCTCCTTCCTCCCTCCCCCCCCGCCCCCCTCTCTCTCCTCGCTCGCATTCCGCGCTGTCCTGGCTTAACTAACTGCAGTCCGCAACTAACTGCAGTCCGGGGGGTATTCTTGTCATATTCGACCGAGAATATAACCCTGTGTTGGACAAAACACTCCGGACTAACTGCAAGACAGTTAAAAGTCCACCATAAGCTGCGTGGGGCGGAGGATACAGCGAAACCAACGCATGGAGGCCCACCCCGCGCGCCCACTGCCCACTGCCCACTGCTGCTCACCGCTGCGAGCCGAGTCCCAGCTCAGCCCATCTGTTCCGAGCCAGGCGGGTGACGAGGTAAGCGTCCTGTACTGGCTCAAGAAGGGGCATGAGATACTCCCGTTTTGTGTGCGACTGCCACGGGGATCACCGGTGCCAATTCAACAAATCGCGCAGGGGCCACCCCCATCGCAGGCGCGGAAGGAGAGCGACCGCCCCCTCCCGAATCCCACTCTGTCTCAGCCCAAAATCCCGCACTTCAGATCCCGACCGGCTGGACTCTGTCGACTACCTTCGCGCCCGAACTTCGCATGGGGTGCGCATTCATCCCACTCCTGTCCCCGCCGTCCCCACCATCCCCACCATCCCCGCCATCCCCACCATCCCCGCCATCCCCGCCACCCCCGCCACCCCCGCCACCCCCGCCACCCCCGCCATCCCCGCCACCCCCGCCACCCCCGCCATCCATCCATGCTCCCAGGAAGCCGATGGTGGCGCCCGCACCATCAACGCGCGGGCGCAGAGGCTCTGGACAGTGGCTCTCCAACGGGACGAAGGCAGAGCAAAGTCCCTCCTCCCAAGTTCTCTCTACACCCCCCCTCAATACCCCAATTTCCCTACAGGTCAGGGCGGTCAAGATCGTAAACATGAACATGAACGAACTCTATGCGATGACGCAAATGACCACCGCGGTTCCAGTGACCTCCACCCCCCTTCCGATGGTCGAGGAGGCCGCCGAGATGTCGTGACGGCCAAGAAGGCAACACGGCGCGGGGAATGTGGTGAGGAGAAGGCCTCTCACTCCGGCACGCGCATCTTTTTCGGGGACCCGGGCTTTCGCTGCGCGGGCGCGGGCGGGCGGGCGCGGGCGGGCGGGCGGGCGGCAGCCTAGCCCAGTCCCGTCCAGCCCAGCCCAGCCCAGAGACAAGCCGTCACGGCGTGCGTGCGAGAAACCACGGCGCGAGTCCAGTGGCACCGTTCGTTGCTGACGACCGCACGCGCGGTAATATGACCATGCGTCCCCTCCCGCTCTACCGGCCTGTATTGCTGTAACGGGGTATACACAAAATACAGGTGAGAGCACCTAGACCCGTACACGCTACACAGGAGGAGGATGAATGAAGCTTGAAGGCTGCCAGGAGCGTGTGTAAGGGGCGCGGTATCAGGGGGGGGACCGCGACCCCGGCCCGGGAGGGACTTGACGGGCCGGCGGCAGCGCCCGGGGTCGCGCGGCGCCGGCGGGGTCCGGGTCGCGTCCCGGCGCGCTTGTTTCTCTTCACTCTTGTTTTTTACCTGCCGGATGTGGGTAAAAAAAACGGACACCTCTCTGCTACTGTGAGATGGGTAAAAAGAGTGGAAAACAGGTGTCAGGTCCCCGCCCGTGCGATCTTTGTGCAGGGTTCTTTGTGGGTGTGGTCGGCGACTAGCCGGGGTCGTCCTCCCAATGGGGGACTAGCACTAGCCGTCTTCCACATGGTCCCTCGGGTCCCTGCTGCTCCTAATCTGTAACAGATGGAATACCGTAAAGCGTGTAATCTCTTCGTACACGATCATCCTCCTGGACGCGTGGACCTGCTGACTCCGCAGAGTCCTGCTCCCTCCCTCGTCTCGCCCGGATGTGGTTGCGAAGGTCGCCCCCCCTTTTACGCCACTTTGTTTGTGTGGAGAAATCTACCTTACCTTACCTTAGAAGAACGGAGCGTCGCGACGCTGCGCTGAAGAGCTGAGACGCAGACGGTCACACATCCGCCGCCCTCGCCTTTTTCGCCTTCTTCTTCTTTGCCTTGGTGTCGCCCACCTCGCCACCGCGGTCTCTTTTCTCCCTCCTGCCCTTCGCCTTGCCCTTCTTTGCCTCCGCCGCCTCCGCGGCATGCGCCGCCACCTCTGCATCCGCCTCCGCCTCCGCCTCCGCCTCCGCCGCCGCCGCCGCCGCCGCCGCCGCCGCCGCCGCCGCCGCCGCCCCTTCCCCCTCCGCCGCCGCCGCCGCCTCCTCCTCCTCGTCGTCGTCGCTCGCCGCCGCAAAGAACGCGTCCTCCGCGAGCGCCGCCTCGCTCGCCTCCAGCTCCGCCGCCTCCGGCTCGTCGTCGCCGCCCTCGTCCTCCTCGGGCGGGCCGAGCTTGCCCGCCTCGGCCTGCCGGACGATCCGGTCGCGGATCTTCTTCCGCAGCTTCGCCACCGCCTCGTTGTCCGCGTCCGAGGATGGGAAGAGCGACAGGTACTTTTTGTTGCGCGGAAAGTGCAGCACGTACAGCCGGTCGTGCTCGGCGGTCCGCAGCTGCTCCTCGAGGCGCTCCGCCTCGCCGCCGCCGCTCGAGCCGTCGCCCAGCTTCCGCTTGAGCGACTCGATCCGCCGCTCGAGCTTGCGCCGCTCGAAAAACTTGACGCCGTGGTACTTTCTGCTGTTGAGCTTCTCGCGCTCGACCCGCTTTGTCCGCTGCGCCTGCTGCAGCAGCTCCGCGAGCTCGTTCTCCTTCTGAGCGCGCGCCGACTCGGGAAGCTTGCCGCTCTTCAGAAGACGCTCCAGCGAGCGTGCGCGCTTGCGCGCCGGCGCCTGCATCCCCGGTATGCCGCCGCGGCCAGAGCCGCGCCCGCCGCCGCGCCCGCCGCGCCCGCCCTTGCCCCAGCTGCCTCTGCCGCCGCGGCCGGACGGCGAGGTGTAGGCCCCAGGCGACGGTCCTCCCATCCGGCTTTTTTGCTGTGCGAAAACGCGAGCTCTCACACACACCAGAGTTGGCAACGAGGCCCGGGGGCCGCCGGCGGTTGGCGCTATGTTTTCTTTCTTTCGGTGTACCTGAGTAAGTGCCAGTGCGCGCCAGTCCCGTGCCCAGTGTTGTGCGAGGGAGTTTTGTTGTGTAAAATTCTTTCTTTCTTTCATTTTCACAACCTGCTCTGCGATTGTCCGCCGTGTGAAGAACGACCGAGATACGCTGCTTCCTCGGGCGCCTCCGCCCCCCCCCCCCCGCAAGGGGCGCGACACACAAAGTTCCGTCGATAACAATTTATCGATCCCGGAGTATCTAAGATCCCTCCGATGCGGTGTACTCGAGTAGAGTTTGTTGTAGAATTTAAACAAAACAACGTTTGTTGTAGAAATTTCACGTTGTAGAGCGCCTCTACATCGCTCTACATCTGCATCGCTCTGTCCCGCGGCGGATGTAGAGCTCTACAGCTCTACAGCGCTCTCCAGCGCTCTCATCTCTACACAGCTCGACTAAGAGCTAACGTACGAATTCTCCCCATAGTGGAGATTGCAACCTGGTTTGTGGAGCTCCCGCAACTGTCAACACTGACGGTGAACCTTCTTTTCTAGACGGCTAGGATTGAGAGCAGCCTCGCTCTCAATCCTAGAAGTCGAAGGATTGTGAGCAGCACTCCTCGCAAGCGTAGCATCTCTGTACGATTGCTAGCACCCACGCTCGCAATCCTACATCTTCTAGGACTAAGAGCAGCTCCGCTCCCAAGGTGACTGGTGACGCCTACGACTACTACCAGCGCGCTCGCAATCCGAGCAAAGTCTAGGATTGCGAGCAGCTTTGCTCACAATCCGAGCAACATGCCTCCGATTGCGAGCAGTAGCGCTCGCAATCCTAGAACTTTCGCCGATTGCGAGCGACACCGCCCACAGTCCTACGACTTCTAGGATTGCGAGCGGGTCCCCTCGCAATCGGTGCGATCACTGTTTGGATTGTGAGGAGACCCTCCCGGCGCGCTCACTCACAAGCGCTCGCGGCTGGAGCGATTGGGAGCGCCCTCTGTGCACGTGCTAGCAATCCTTGGATCTTGGGTACGATTGTGAGCGCCGCCGCTCATAGTCCTACAAGATGTAGGATTGCGAGCGCTACTGCTCGCAATCGGAGGCATGTTGCTCGGATTGCGAGCAGTGCTGCTCGCAATCCTAGACTTTGCTCGGATTGCGAGCGCGCTGGTAGTAGTCGTAGGCGTCACCAGTCACCTTGGGAGCGGAGCTGCTCTTAGTCCTAGAAGATGTAGGATTGCGAGCGTAGGTGCTAGCAATCGTACAGAGATGCTACGATTGCGAGGGGTGCTGCTCACAATCCTTCGACTTCTAGGATTGAGAGCGAGGCTGCTCTCAATCCAAGCCGTCTAGAATTTTACAACAAAACTCGCCGTCTAGAAAAGAAGGTTCTTAATCACCAACACTGACAGTCCTGACAGAGTCCTGACAGAGTCCTGACAGAGTCCTTGACAGAGTCCTGACGGAGTCCTGACGGAGTCCTGGCGGAGTCCTGACGACACTTGTGAGTACTCACTCACACACCTAGGTAGAGAGAGAGATAGATCACTCGATATTGAAACTTTCGGGCGGTCTCGAGCGAGATGTCGGACATGGACGTAAACCCGCGGTTTTGCCGTACCGCGCGTGCCGCGTGTGGTCGGACGAGCGCAGTGCGCATCGGCGGCGAGCCGCGGCACCAATCCGTCGCGCGAGAGAGCGACGCCGCCGCGTGCGCGCAGCGCGGCAGAGACGAGCCGGCGGCGAGGGTCGCAACTTGTAAAGCCCTTGGCGGTTGCACCCCCACACCCCCAGACACTCTCTTCTCTTGTGATGTATGTGTATGTGTTTGGGAAAGCCGATGTGCCGGTCGCTTGTCACGTTGCCCCTGACCGGCGAGGGCGGAGAGGCAGCTGAAAGAGGGAGCGCGGGAAGAATTTTACAAGCAAACTCTGTCGCACACGCACGATTCACACAACAGGCAAAGCGCGGACGACGGCTTCTAATAGAAGCCGTCGTCCTCACAGAAGCCGTCCTCCTCCCAGAAGCCGTCGTCGGAATGGTTAGTCAGGCGGATGGTCGAATCCGCGAGCACGGTGCTCGCCGAAAAGACCATCCCCCCCCCCCCCCCCACTCGCTCCCGCCGTGCCTCCAGTCGGCGTTTGCTGTGGGACTTCCCGCCCCCCCCGCCAGCGCCGCGGGCCGGGCCGCGCCGTAACCCCTCCAGGTCCTCCTCCCAGAGGAGCAGCCGCCCCTCCCTCACCCAACCCTCCCACCCTGGGAATGGGACACCGCCAACCCGACCACGCCCAGCGTGCCAGCCCCTCCCTTCTCAAGCCGCCTCGTCGTCAGTAGCCGAAGCCTCGCCGCCCGCCGGGAGGCCGGCCTCGGGGTGCGCCTGCAACACACGTTTCGTGGCTTGATAGGAGGGCGATCTGCTACCCTAGCCGGCACAAGCACCAGCGCTGGTTGGACTCGGCTCCAACCTCCTCCTTTCATCTACATTTTGACACCTGCTCCTCCGCGTCGAAGCGGGAGAAGGCAAACCCCGTGGCGTAGGGCGAGGGCAGCTCGTACATGGCAGCGCTGCCTTCGATCGCGCCCTCGGCCTGCGCGCTTGTGGTGACGGTGCCAGCGCTCCTGGGGTACCCGTCCCGCTTGCCATTGCGCTGACCGGGCGTCGAAAAGCTTTGGCCAACCAATCCATGAGGGAGCGAGCGCTCCGCGGCGCTGTCGCCCGCGGCGATCGCGACGTCGAGGCGATGCTTGGGTCCGCTGATGTGGTCGTACACATGGTTGCCTGTGGGGGTTGCGTGATGGCCCGTCAGTCAGGGGTGGGTGGGTCGGGGGTCCATCCCGACGACATCTCCTTCGAGATGATGGAGAGGGGGGACGACACCGCCCGATCTACCCTCTGCGGCCCCTCAGCGGCGTGCACCTCGTCCTCGATCCTGTACCGTGTTTATGGACCCCCCCCGATCGATGAGCACACCAGCGTGTGTGTGTGTGTGTGTGTGTAAAACTCGTCTCGTCGCACACCAAGAGCTTACGCTCTGTCGAGACGTGAGGCGCTTGCGCCCGGGAGGGGAGGGCGCATGCGTAACGACGCTTGCTAGAGATGCCTTTCGGGGCCCAGAGTGCAGAGATAGAACTTCTGATGCCGTGCGTGACCTAGTAGTGTCCCCAGCTATGGGCGTGTCCACGTTGGAGCCAGGTGTGGTGTGGACGCGAGAATAGCTCCGTTCATGGAGGGCAACCGATGCGAGTCGACTGGTGTGTGTCGTCCGTGGTTTCGTATCAAGAATACTCACACACCAGCGAGCGAGGGAGGGCGAGACGATCGAGGGGTCCTCCCGTACCATGCGGAATCGACCCTACCCAGTGCTCAAGTGCTCAAGAAAGAAGGAAGACAGGCAACCCAACCAAAGGAGGGAAGGGGGGTTAAAACTTTTTCGCTTAAAATTACCTGTGTTAGTGCCAGTGCGCGCCAGTCCCGTGCCTAATAAATAAATAAACCAGACAACCCCTGGTGTGGCTAACGAAAAGAAAAGAAAGAAGACGGCTAGTGCCGTCTTGCTCGAAATTCTTTTTCCCTATTGAGGGAAAACATCGCCCCGCCCCGCCCCATGGCTAGTGTCGCCCGAGGGCTTGAGTTGGTTGCAGGCCCCGGCCGCCCCGCTGAGGCGTTGCCGTCCCCGATGACGTCCACTGGCACGCCCTGCGAGGAGATCATCAACCTCGGACGGGTACGGCTCGAACGGGCGACGGAGAAAGAGTCCGGAGACCAGCCGCACATTGTGAAGCTGCGCATCACGATTCCACCGCAGCTGTCCGCCGCCGCCGCCGCCGCCGCCACCGCCGGTGCCCGCGTCAAGTTCAAGTTCCACGTGCCGTGCCGCTGCAGAAAGCACACTTCCAAGTTCACCAAAATGAAGCATGGGACGGCTGCGATTGTGCCATGGGACACGCGCGTCTGTTCGCTGCAAGCGCCGCCTGCGCCGCCACTCACGGCGACTTGCCCTGCCCCCCCCGTTGGGTCTGCGAACGCTGTGGACGCGCACGCCGCGGAGGCGGCAGCGGCCGACACGGCGCCCGCGCAACCCGCAGAGCCGGCGCCGCCCGCGGCACCTGCAACACCGGCTGCGACGCGGGCACCGGCGGCGGCGGCGGCGGTGGCGGCGGCGGCGGCACCTGCGGCAGCACCGGCTGCGGCGCCGGCAGAGGCTGGGGCGGCGGCGCCCGCACAGTCCGCAGGGCCGACGCCGCGCGAGGCGCTGGCACCACCTCCGGCGCTTGTGGGGGACTCTGCGGGCTGGGGGACGGCGCCGGCACAACCTGCAGAGTGCCCCCCCCGGGCACAGCCCGCGGCGGCGGCCGAGGTGGCGGCCGCGGTGGCGGCCGAGGCGGCGGCCGAGGCGGAGGCGGCGGCAGCTTCCTCGGGAGTGGCTGCGTCGCTTGCGGCCGAGGTGGCGGGCGGGCAGGACGGGGCGTCGCGAGCGGCCAAGGCGAAGCAGTCGAAGCAGTCGAGGCAGGAGGAGGCCCAAACGACGTACCTGTGCGACATGCTCGGGCAGGCCGGCCGCAACCTCGCGGCGCTCGCCAGCCCCGAGTGCAAGACGTATGCTGCGGTGGCGGAAGCCATCGGCAACGGCGCCAAGGTGTGGGGCTCGCGCGACAAACCGTACCAGGACACGCCCATGCACGCCGCCGTAGCCGCCGGGGCCTGGCCGCTGGTGCGGCGTCTCCTCGAGCTGGGAGGCGGGCCGGCGGCGGCGATGCCGATCGACCGCAAGGGCCGGACGCCGCTCTTTCTCCTGTGCGAGCGGCTCGGCGATCTCGAGCACCCGGACGGCGACGCCGAGCACGCGGCTGCGGCAGAGGCTGCGGAGCAGTTGCTGGCGTTCTCGCCGCAGCCGGCTGCCGAGCTCCAGCGCGCGCAAAAGAAGAAGGGGTGGACGTGCCTGATGACGGCGGCGGAGCACGCGAGCCCGGCGGTGGTGGAGCAGCTGCTCAAGCACACGCCGAGCGGGCAAGTCGACGCCACCGACAACAACGGCTGGACGGCGCTCCACTGGTGCGTGTCCCAGGACCTCACGGACAACCTCGCGGCGCGCGCGGCGAAGGTGGCGCGGCTGCTCCTCGCCGCGGGCGGCTCTCCAAGGCGCAACGGCAAGGGCCACCTGCCGATCGACCTGCTCGTCGACGCCTTCGACGTCGCCGCCGACGAGTTCTTCCTCGCCCTGCCAGCGAGGCCGTACCCGATCCGTGACCTCTCGGCTGCGCTGGCCGGCGAGCCGAGCCCGCCGAAGCCGCCGCCGGCCGGGCGCTCCACCACGCCCGCCGACCCCGCTGCGGCCACGGCTGCCCCCCTCACCGCCCGCGGCGGGTGCGGCGGGCGCGGCGGGCGCGGCGGGCGCGGCGGGCGCGGCGGGCGCGGCAGCGCACAGCTGGCCAACCCTGCGGTCAAGACGCCGGCGAGCAAGCTTCCGGGCGGAGGAGCGACCCCATCGGAGGGCGGCCACAAGCGGCAGCGGGACGAGGCGTCGGCCGCTTTGGCGGGCGGCCACAAGCGGCAGCGGGACGAGGCGCCGGCCGAAGCGGCCGGCGGCAGCAACACCGTCGTGAAGCGGCCACGCGACGCGCGCACTCCCCCGCCGGTGGAGTGGAGCGCAGCGCTCGTGCGCGAGTGGCACGACGCGCTGCTCAAGACGCTTAAGGACAGCGCGGGGCAGCTGCTCCCGGTGGCGACCAAGCTGCGCGAGCCCGCGCCGTCGCTCGAGCAGGCTCGCCCCTTTAAACCTCGCCCGCACCCCAAGGCCACATGGGCCGACTCCCCCGCCCCTCGTGCCGCAGCTGCACGCCGCCGGTCTCGTAGCGGGCGACGCGGCGCCGGGCGGGAAGGAGTCGGTCCTCCACTGGCTCGCCACCCTCAAGAAGCGCTTCAAGGGCGTCAACCACTCGGAGCCGCTGCTGCTGCTGCTGCACGCCGTGCTGCCGCCGCCCACGCCGTCGGGCGCTGGGCATGGCAGTGCCTTCGTCCACCCGCCGGCCGCCCCCGCCGCGTCGCGGCGTCTCCTCCGCCACTGCGGCCGCAGCGAGGGTTGCGAGCCGTGCAGCGCGTGCGGCGAGGAGACGGGACGCGGCGCACGACTCCGCTTCCTCGAGCGCCTCGACATTTGCGCGTGCTCGCCGCTCGCCGCCGCGCTCCTCAGCGACCGCAAGGGCTCCTTCGAGCGGGCGCTCGTCCTCTACAACGCGTCGATCTGCGCGGGCGGCCCACCCACCACGCCCAGCGCCGCCGCCCGCACCGCGGCTGAGGTGCGCCGCGACCTCCTTGCCTGCGAGTGGCCGGCGCGCACGCGCCAGCTCGTCGCCCTCTGGTGGTCGCGCACGGCGCTTCCGGAGGCGGGTGCGGAGGCGCAGCTCGCCGCGGCGGCGGAGGCGTGGGCGGCACAGACGCCGCCGCCGGGCCAGTCCGTCTCCGACCCCGCCTTCATCTCGCGGTTCGAGTTTCGCGATCCGGAGGAGCAGATCGTGGAGGTGGACGGAAAGGTGATGACCGTGACGTACAAGGGCGACCAGCCGCTGCCGCCGTTTATCTACATGACCGAGAGCGCTCCATACGACATGCCGCCGCAGTTCCTCCGGCTGCCCAGCGGCTGCACCCACGGCTGCAGCCAGCTCCCCGCCCGGGGTTGCGGCAAGACACGCGCGCCGGGCGAGGTCTGGGGCAAGCACCCGTGTTGCCGCGTGGGCTCCCGCATGGACCTCAAGAACCCGTGCAGCTGCGGCGCGAGCGAGTGCACCATTGCCTGTGCGTGCGCCGAGCACCCCAAGAAGTGCGAGAACCGCGCGTCGCAGCAGGGCGTCACCGTCCGCCTCTGCGTGACCCGGTACGCCGACAAGGGCTGGGGCGTGAAGACGCTGAAAGCCCTCAAGCGCGGCGACTTCGTCTGCGAGTATGTCGGCGAGCTCATCTCGGAGAGCGAGATGAAGGCGCGGGAGGAGCGCGCTGAGATCAACTCGTCCTACATCTTCACCCCCTCGGGCCGGGGAGGCGCGGAGGCGTATGCCGCCATCGACGGTTTCGCCATGCGCAACGTCGCCGCCTTCATCAACTTCTCCTGCTCGCCCAACCTGGAGCTCCGCTACCTCGACCACCCATACGGCGACCGGCGGATCAAACGCGTCGGCTTCTACGCGAAGGAGGACATCGAGTCGGGGACGGAGCTCGGCTACCGCCGCAACCAGGGGTGCGTGGATGGCCAGATGTCGAAAATCGCGTGCAAGTGCGGCTCCGAGAAGTGCCGCGGCTTCCTCTGACTGCTAGTTGCGCAGGCGCTGCCGGCGGCGCGTGCAGAGCCGAGTGGCCATAGCGGCCGAGCTTCATGGAGCGACACGACGTCGCGAGGGAGGAGTGCGGGGTGCGGTTCAGGCCTCGCCCGCCGCCCGTTTGCGGCTGTTGGGGCGTACGTGCTTTCTCCCAGTCGTGGGAAGAGGCGGCCCCGTGTAAAAAGCACATCCCTGTTGCTGTTGTAGCAGGGGATTTTAAGAGTTCCGACAGGTTCGGCGCCCGCGCGCGGGTGGCGGAGGGTGTGCGCTGTGCCTTCAAGATACAACAACACTTGTCTCTCAATGCTCAAACACACTCACGGCTCAAAAACCTCTCAACGTACACGTATAACGACAAAAAAGAAAACACCACCGTGACAAGACCGAGGCACTCCCAACTCCCATGTGCGCGCCCTTGCCGTCCTAACAACCGAGCTTGCGGCCAGAGCAGCGACCAGTGCGCAGTGTATTCGTTCTTTGCACTGCCCTATCTTCTTGTTCATCACACGTGGTGTCCATGAATCTCACAAACCGCATGAAACGTGTGCCAGCGCACCTCGCCACTGTCCACACAGTCACTCTCACCCTTCGGCTTCACGGAGCACGCGGGAGCACTGTGTGACTGTTGCGCACGTCTCTCGTTGACGGCCACATGCAAGATCCGCACCCACAGAGCCTCCTTTATCAGAGCCTGCAGCGCCCGTTCCGCCATGTTCTGGCTGCATGCGTTCAGCACTTCAGCCTTCAGCTTGCGGCTGCCCGGTGGCGCCCCCCACGGCGGTTTGCAGGATGGCGGCTTCGTCTGCGGCTCGGCGGGCCAGAGGGGAGGGGGGAATTGGCTTGGACCACCCGGGTGGTCAAATCCGCCTGGTTTGGACTTATTATTATTGGTGTAATTATGAGAGGATTTTACAACAAAACTTCCTCGCACAACACTGCTCACTGGGCACGGGACTGGCGCGCACTGGCACTAAGAGGACCTCGCTTTCAGCGGGTGCGTGGTGCGTCTCTCTCCACACATACACAGATCGAGGGGGGGGGGGGGGGGGTAAATAGGTAGATAGATAAGATAGAGAGAGAGAGTCGGTCGGTCGCCGTCCAGGCAGGCAGGTGCCTTTGCGCGTAGGAACCGAGCTGGCGAGGTACTTCCACTGTGGAACGAAGCTGTGTGTCTCGCGCAAGCTTTTGCCCTCTCGCTTTTTCGCCCCGGGCATATAGGTAGGGGACCGCGTGAGCCAGGCCAACGGACGCCGGCTTTGATCGTTCGTCGTGACCACCAACCACACACATCTGCCCCCCACATCTGCCGGAACGATGCAGCATCGGAAGCGTGCCCGCGAGCCGCCAACGGCGGCGCCGCCGCCGACGGTGGCCCGCCCAGCTGTGATCCCGGTGGCGATGGGCTTGCGCTTGCACCTCTCCAGCACCAGCGCCACCGGGTACCGGGGCATCAGCTGGGAGCCGACCACGCGCCGCCACCGGGCGCAGCGCACGCATCGCGGAGCCATCATCATGCTGGGCTGGTTCGACACGGCGGTCGAGGGGGCGGTGGCCTACGCGAGGGCTGTCGGGGAAGCGCTGGAGCCCCCCGAGGGCCGCTTAGCAGTGGCAGAGGGGCTGCGCCTCCACCTCTCCCGCACCAACTCCACCGGGTACAAGGGCGTGTACGAGGACGCGCACGGAACCTTCCAGGCCCAGCTCAGGTCGTCATCGATGGGCGGCGCGTCGTGCGGGTCACACCACGACGCTGTGAGCGGCGTCTCTTCACAACTGCAGCCGTGAACAGGCGCGTCGAGCCGCGCGACTGGCCGAAGCGGAAAGGTTTCTCACTTGGGGTACTTTGACACTGCGGTCGAGGCTGCGGTGGCCTATGCGCAGGCGGTGCGGGCGGCTGAGGAGTCTGAAGCTTCGGCGGAGGCGACAGAGGCAGCGGCGCCGGCGGTGGCAGAGGCATCGGGGGTGCCCGTGACGGCCGCGCCCCTATCGGCTCCCCGCTCGGCGTCCCTTCGGCCAGATGTGCTGGTGGCGCTGGCGGACACAGGCACCGCCACCGGAGCGGTGTGTCTGGCTGTGGGGCAGGCGCCGCCGCCGCTCCCGCAAGCACCGCCGGAGATGGCAGAAGCCTATAGTGGGGACGGCGACTGTGAGCGCATGTTCGCGGGCTGTCTCTCTCAGAGCGATCTTCTGGCCATGTGGCGCGCTCACTCCGCCGCCCAGGCACCGCCTGAGCTGGCCTCTGGCAACGAGGACGACTGGGAGCGCATGTTCGCGGGCATCTTCTCCCGGGGAGGAATCGCGGCCATGCGGCGCGACTGCTCCGCCTCCCAGGCACCGCCTGAGCTGGCCTCTGGCAGCGAGGATGACTGGGAGCGCATGTTCGCGGGCATCTTCTCCCGGAGCGACATAGCGGCCATGCGGCGCGACTGCTCTGCCTCCCTCCCTCCCTCGCCGCCAGCCACGCCGGCGCCGCTGCCCTTTGCGCAACGCTCGTGGCAGTTGCCGTTGCGCGTGGGCTTGCTGGCACCCATCCAGGTCTCGCTCGCCCTGGTGGTGGTGTGCGCCGCCTTCGTGGCCGAGCTCTACACCCTCCCAGCCTTCGCCTTTGCTGCTGCGGGCTTCGCAGTGATTGCCGCTGCCAACCTGGCACAGGCCTCGCCTCGCATTGTCGCGCGTGCGCTCACGATGATGTTCGTCGGTGTCCCGACTCTGCGTCTCATCCACGTTCTGGTAAGCTCGCCCGCAGAGCTGACCCGCGATCTGGACAAACTCATCGAAGGGAGGCTAGGCCTGCTCTCGCTCTGTGCAGGGGTCGGCGCCTCCTACGGCGCGCTGCCGCCCGCCGCCCTCCCTTCCTCCCGCAAGCTGCCCTCAGCGGCATACTTCGCTTGCGGGCCCGCCCTTACTCGCGTCGCCTTGGTCCTCTGTGCTCGGACGGGCGACGAGCGCATGCTCTCCTTTGAAATGCTGTACGGCGGCCTCCCCTTCGCCGCGTCCTTTCTGGCTGCCCAGGCTGTCTCATACAGCAGCCTCCGGCAAGACGCTCCGCCCTCTGCCACTCGCTGACGGGCTGCGTTCCTGCGGCGGGGCTGCGTCACGCGCCCCCTGCCTGGCTGCGCTGAATGCTAGACAGCTGTAGTCGTCGGAAGAGCCACGAGAGGAAGTGAAGGTGGCGTACATCAGCGCGGTGAGGCCCTCGCTGTCCTGCAAGTCAACCACAATCACCCCGTTTTTGCCCTAACTGTAGAGTGTAGTGCGCGTCGGGCTGGTGGTTCTCCAATTCGGTCATCCGTCAAAAATACTAAAGATCTGAATGGGGGACTTCCCCCGCCAAAACCTTGCCGCCGGGGCCGGCCGCTAAGCCTAAGGTAAGGGGTAAGGTAAACTTCTCCACACACACAAGGTGGGGGGGGGGGGGGCGACCCTCGCGTCTCCACGTCTAGAGACGGACAGGAGCGCGTGCCTCACGGCAATCAAAGTGCAAGGCCCACCCAGTGCGCGTAGGTGAGCGGTGAGCGTACTTGTTGAGGGCAAGTTTGGGATTTGCACAGCCCAAACTCGCTCGCAAGAGACGCATCCCGTAATACGCAATCAAATCTCTGTGTGATCCTTCAAATTCTGGGCGATTTTGACTATCCTCACTACTTTTGTGGCCGGCGCTGTGCACAGAGAATGTGCTCGAGAGCGCCTCCACACTCACGAAGCGTGGTGACGCAGGCCTCGCCGGTTTCAGTGATTGGTGCCCTCAAGACTCCGATCGCCAGCCACGCTACGGAGCCCAAGGCGCCGCGCTACGCCTCCGGTCATGCCCCTCATCCCATCAGCTTTGCTCCGGAGCAGTACTCGCGAAGGAGGATCCCAGTGAGCCTGGGCGGGGTTGGGTCAACGTTGCCAAGAAACAGCGATGACGCATTTCAACGCATGTTTTTGTCGCAGCAGCGCGCAGATGGCCGCATGGTCTGCCTTGGAGCTTGCCCCTCACTGTGACCGCCCTCACAGCTCGCGCTGTGCGCATGCAGACAGACGCAATTTCTCCCGAGACGCGGCCGCTCTCTGCTCTTGCTGCGGTCCGCAAAGCACTTCTACTGCCGGTGACTGTGATCTGTGTCACGTGTAGAGTGTCTAGACGCACTACGGTGAGAGCGTGGTGGCGGAGGCTCTCTGCGTCTGACGAGCGCGGGCGCTCTGTGTACGTGCCAGTGCGCCTGACCTTTCTATCAATGTCTTGCATGCCTCCTATCAAAAGCTACACGGCTTAACGTACAAACCCTTCTCGGAGGGCTCAGCCCCACCGTCGCGGCGACTGCGGCGGGGGGCGCGCATTGTCCCCCTCCATCGGCGGCTTGGCTGCTGCGGCCGCCTGCCCCCACTCCTGCAACGCTTGGCTCCACTGCAGCGCCAGCTCGTCCATAGACAGCCCCTCCAAGGCGCTGTCCGACGCCTCCAGCTCCGCCGCTGCCGCCGCCACCGCCGCCGCCACGGCTGAGTCCACGCCCCGAGGCATGCCCCTCTTCAGGCTCAGGCGCCGCCTCAACTCGGACGTCGCTGCCACCACCGCCTCGGTGCCACTGCCACGGGAGGCACGCGCTGTGGAGGCGGCGGCCGAGGCCGCAGCGTCGACCGCAGCCTCCCATTCCTCCTCTGCCTCCACGCGAGCTGCCACGCGAGCCTCCCATGCCACTTGCTCCAGCTGCGCCCTCGCCTCCCTCTGCGCTGCCTCCAACGCTGCGGCGACCGCAGATGCGCCCTCCACCTCAGCCTGTGCGATCGCCTCCGCCCTCGCCGCCTCCACCGCCGCCTCCACCGCCGCCTCCTGCTCCGCCGTCGCCTCCGCCAGCTGGGCCTGCAGTGCAGCCACCGCCTCCGCCAACTCCCCCTGCAGCGCAAGCGCCGACGCCGCCCGCCGCTGCCCCGCCATCGCCTCCGAGGCCGCTGCTGTCTCTGCCGCCTCCGCCCTCGCCGCCTCCACCGCAGCCGCTCGCTCCGCCGCCGCTTCCGCTCTCGCCGCGTCCGCTGCCGCCTGCCGCTGCACAGCCGCCTCCGCCTTGGCCGCCTCCACCGCCGCCTCCACCGCCGCCTCCACCGCCGCCTCCACCGCCTCGCTGCGCTCCGCCTTAGCCGCCTTTGCCTCCTCCTCCCGCTCTGCCGCAATCGCCTCGGCGGCGGTCCCCGCCGCAGCCGCCTCGGCCGCCTCACGCCGCGCTGCCTCGAGCTCGGAGGTGAGCCGGGCCACCTGCTCACAACCAATGGTGTGAAGGCACTTCTCGCACCGAACTCTAGGAGGAGTCTGCGCGACCCGCGCTGCCGCCGCAGCGTTGTCGTCGGCAGCCTGCGCCCGGACAGCCTCCGCTGCTTCACCAGCGGCTGTCTTGCGCTCTGCCGCCGCTGTCTCAATCGCCGCCTCTCGCTCCGCCGCCGCCTCCGCCCTCACCGCCTCAACCGCCGCCTTCTGCTCCTCTGCCGCCTCCGCCTTTGCCACCTCCACCGCCGCCTCCACGGCGTCTACCCACTCCGCCGCCTCCTCCGCCCTTGCGACCACTGCCGCCGCCGCCACGGCCGCCTGCCGCTCTGCCGCCGCCTCCTCCTTGGCCGCTCGAACGGCTGCCGCGCTGTTCGCCGCCGCCTCTCTCCTCGCCAGCTCCGCCGCCGTCTCCCACTGCGCTGCCGCCTCGGCCCTCGCCGCTTCTGCAGCCGCCGCCGCGGCCGCCTGCTGCTCTGCCGCCGCCTCCGTCCTCGCCGCCTCCACCGCTACTGCCAGGGCCGACTGGCTCTGCACTTGTGCTGCCTCCGCCACCGCCGCGAGAGCGGCGCCCTGTGCCAACGCCACGTGGACAGAAGCAACTGCGGCCTCAGCTGCCGCCTCGGCCGCTTGCACCTCCCCCGCCAGCACCCCTCCCATCGCCTGCGACACCTTTTCGGTAGCTGCGGCCTTGTCGTCGAGCATATTTCGGGCCGTCTCTGTCGCCGCTGCCTCTGTCGTAGCCACTGCGCTCGCAACGTCCGAGGTGAGGCGTGCCAACTTCAAGCGGAGGCGGCGCGAGGCGCCCTCCTCCTCGCGAAGGCTCGACTGCAGCGCACGCATCCCAACCAATAGCTGTGCCTCCAGCTGCGCCGCAGCCTGCGCCTCGGCCGCCGACTCTTGCGCCGCACGCGCTGCCTCCGACGCCCTCGCCTCAACAGTGGCCACCCTCCTTTCCAGAACGGCGGCTCGAGCCGCGGCCTCGGCCGCACGGTGCTCGGCCGCTTCAGCGCGATCGCGCACGGTGGCAGCGCGCCATGCGCCGAACGCGGCCGCGCACGCGCGGCCTGAGAGACGCGCCGCGGCCACGCGAGCCACGGACTCGCCACGCGCCCGCACAGCCGCCTCCATCGACAGCTTCTGCGAAGACAACGCGGCCTCAAGCGAGATAGCATGCGCGGCCTCCGCCTCCGCCACCTCCTCGAATCGCCGCCGCTCTGCCGTTGCCGCAATCGCCACCGCCTCCTCGTACTTCGCGGCGGCGGCTTGCAGCGACGCCGACTGTGCCCGCGCCGCCTCCGCCGCTCTCGCCTCGATGCAAGCATGCCGCCAAGCGCTGAAGGCCGCCGATGCCGCCCGTCCCGAAAGGCGCGACAGCGCCACGCGAGCCAGCAACTCGCCCCGCTCCGCCAGCCGCTCCTCCCGCCTCGCCACCGCAACCTCGTGCTCCGCCTCGAGCTTGCGGAGCGCCGCGTCTCGCGCCGCCTCGACCCGCTGCACGGCGGCATCCTCCTGAGCCGCGAGCCGCGACTCGGCCGCCGCCACACGCCATGCGCCGAACGCGGCCGCGCACGCGCGGCCTGAGAGACGCGCCGCGGCCACGCGAGCCACGGACTCGCCACGCGCCCGCACAGCCGCCTCCATCGACAGCTTCTGCGAAGACAACGCGGCCTCAAGCGAGATAGCATGCGCGGCCTCCGCCTCCGCCACCTCCTCGAATCGCCGCCGCTCTGCCGTCGCCGCAATCGCCACCGCCTCCTCGTACTTCGCGGCGGCGGCTTGCAGCGACGCCGACTGTGCCCGCGCCGCCTCCGCCGCTCTCGCCTCGATGCAAGCATGCCGCCAAGCGCTGAAGGCCGCCGATGCCGCCCGTCCCGAAAGGCGCGACAGCGCCACGCGAGCCAGCAACTCGCCCCGCTCCGCCAGCCGCTCCTCCCGCCTCGCCACCGCAACCTCGTGCTCCGCCTCCAGCTTGCGGAGCGCCGCGTCTCGCGCCGCCTCGACCCGCTGCACGGCGGCATCCTCCTGAGCCGCGAGCCGCGACTCGGCCGCCGCCACACGCCATGCGCCGAACGCGGCCGCGCACGCGCGGCCTGAGAGACGCGCCGCGGCCACGCGAGCCACGGACTCGCCACGCGCCCGCACAGCCGCCTCCATCGACAGCTTCTGCGAAGACAACGCGGCCTCAAGCGAGATAGCATGCGCGGCCTCCGCCTCCGCCACCTCCTCGAATCGCCGCCGCTCTGCCGTCGCCGCAATCGCCACCGCCTCCTCGTACTTCGCGGCGGCGGCTTGCAGCGACGCCGACTGTGCCCGCGCCGCCTCCGCCGCTCTCGCCTCGATGCAAGCATGCCGCCAAGCGCCAAAAGCCGCCGATGCCGCGCGCCGCTGTCCTGCCACCGCCTCCACTGCTGCTTCCCGCGCCTCTGCAGCCTCCGCCCTCGCTGCCTCCGCCGCCGCTCCCAATTCCACCGCCGCCTCTGCTTTGGCCACCTCCGATGCGGCCTCCACCGCCGCCGCCCACTCTGCTGCTACCTCTGACCTCGCACATTCCACCGCTGCTTCCCGCTCCGCCGCCGCCTCCGCCCTCACCGCCTCGACCGCCGCCTTCTGCTCCTCTGCCGCCTCCGCCTTTGCCACCTCCACCGCCGCCTCCACGGCGTCTACCCACTCCGCCGCCTCCTCCGCCCTTGCGACCACTGCCGCCGCCGCCACGGCCGCCTGCCGCTCTGCCGCCGCCTCCTCCTTGGCCGCTCGAACGGCTGCCGCGCTGTTCGCCGCCGCCTCTCTCCTCGCCAGCTCCGCCGCCGTCTCCCACTGCGCTGCCGCCTCGGCCCTCGCCGCTTCTGCAGCCGCCGCCGCGGCCGCCTGCTGCTCTGCCGCCGCCTCCGTCCTCGCCGCCTCCACCGCCGCCTCCACCGCCGCCTCCTGCTCCGCCGTCGCCTCCGCCAGCTGGGCCTGCAGTGCAGCCACCGCCTCCGCCAGCTCCCCCTGCAGCGCAAGCGCCGACGCCGCCCGCCGCTGCCCCGCCACCGCCTCCGAAGCCGCTGCTGTCTCTGCCGCCTCCGCCCTCGCCGCCTCCACCGCAGCCTCTCGCTCTGCCGCCGCTTCCGCTCTCGCCGCGTCCGCTGCCGCCTGCCGCTGCACAGCCGCCTCCGCCTTGGCCGCCTCCACCGCCGCCTCCACCGCCTCGCTGCGCTCCGCCGCCGCCTCCGCCTTGGCAGCGTCCACCGCATGAGCAAGCGCCTCTGCCGCGCGTGCCGTTGCGATGGCCGCCTCATCCTCCCGCACCGCCGCCGCCTTGGCTGCAGCAGCCTCGAGCAGGCCCGCCAGCCGCTCGGCCTCCGCCTTGCTGAAGGTTTCGGCGGCGGCAGTCGCGTGCGCAGCCTCGGCTTCTGCGCGCAGAGCCTCGACGACCGCGTGAGCCGCGGCGCGCTCAGCTGCGATCTCCGTCACGGCCGCCGCCGCCGCCGCCGCCTCCCGCTCCGCCGCCGCGGCCTCCCTCTCTGCGGCGCTCGCTCGCACCTCGGCGGCGGCGGCGGCGGCGCGAGCGGCGGCCAGCTCTCTACTGGGGTCCTCCTCAGTGCTGGTCGCCACCTCACTGCGCGCCATTGCCACCGCGCCCGGCTGCGCGTCACGCACGTCGGTCCCGATGGCCGCCTCGAGCCTCCAGCCGGCGCGATCGCGTTGCTCCTGCACGAGCGACTGCAGCCGCCTCTGCGATTCGCTGCTCTCATGGCTGAGCCAGTGGGCCGTCTCTCTGTGGTGCAGCGCGTCGCCGGCCTCCCAATAGGCGGTGGGTGCGGCGAGCCACGCCTGATTAAGCCGTGGCGGCGGCGGCGAACGCTGCAGCCGCGCCGCTGTAGCAAAGGGAGAGTAGAGCCGACGTGTCGCAGCAGCGCCGGCGGTGGTGGCAGCGCCGGCGGTGGCAGCGGTGGCGGGCTCGGCTGAGCTGGGTGGCGCCGCCGCGCCTCGGATCACGCCGCCACCCGCACGCCCTGGGTAGCGCGTCAGCCGCTCTCGGCTCGCTCGGCTCGCGCGGTCGGCCTGCGGGCTGCGCCGCCGCTCTGACCACTCCACGGCCTGCTGCATCGCCCGCTCCCGCATTGCTCGAGCAGTACTGGTCCTATCATGGTACTCTGTGTGCGAGGCCCAAAATCTGGCCTCGGCGGTGCTGGCAGGCAATCTCGACGCTGGTGGCGATCTCGCTGGCGATCTTCTCGAAGCAGGGAAAGGAGGGCCGCCCTCCATCGTAAAAGAATTCGCGCGTGCGCGCCATCTATCACGCCTTGCGACAGTCGGCGCTGCTTGCCCTGCTGCACAATTGATCACCTGCATAGCTCGCGGCCTCAGTATCCAGCATTCAGATTTCAGTGACGACCGAGCCTGGCTGTTCTTCACGGACACGGTCTTCTGATAAACGCAGTATGGAAGATACAAAGAGACGGAGGAGCAACGAGCGCCCTGGCGTGAGCCAAAGACACTCCCCTCCGTAGACACTGATCACACACGGGTGGGACAGGGTGGGTCACAACAACGAGGCACGAGAGCGTGCACGACAGAGCGACAACGCAGCGCACTGCCGTCCAGTCGGCGAAGGGACGGCTGCTGCGCAAAGTGATCAGTTCTAATGAATGTACCGGGGCCCAACGGATAGATGATTCCGGGGCACCCTCCGCTCGAATCCCTGGCCGGGGGTTCGAGGTGGCCCCCACCCTGGGGCCTCCCATCAAAGGGACTGCTGCAGAAGACGCCCAATCTTGCACAAGTGCAAGAACCATACGTCTTCTGATAAACGCAGTATGGAAGATACAAAGAGACGGAGGAGCAACGAGCGCCCTGGCGTGAGCCAAAGACACTCCCAACTGCGCTCCGTCACCGGTGTCGCGGTCTCCCCCACTGAGGGCGATCTGCGGGGGGGAGTCGCGCCGCCGGCATGTATCTGTGCAACTGTGTTTTGCCTTGTCCCGTTTGACTCGATTTCTACTCGAATTCTTCTACCCCCACGACTCTGAACGCGAATGTGACAGGACCATCGGGTCCTTTGGCCACCAAAGCGAGATCACCCGAGAGCAGCTGAGCCTGCCTCTGGCCTCGCCTCCCTCCTCCAGGCATTGTGGCATCCTATGGGTCGTTATCGACCTCTGGCTTGTCAGCCAGCCCCACTTTGAGGGCGCCATGAAGTACAGCGATCGCCACCTCGCTGGCCTCTCCGTCCGCAGGCCCCCCCGACCGCGTCGAACTCATCGGCGCGGGCTCTCTCGGCTACGGGACCGGCCCCAGCTTCGGCTGAGGGCTGACAAGCTGCCGAGCCCAAATCACTGTGCGCGCCGTGATTTCTTGTTGGTTTTCTAAAATCTCTCTCTCTCAGAAAGCGGAAAGGCGAGAGACGACCTCTCGATCATCCCGCCCGTTTCACAACGAACGAAGCACGAGACCGAGTGAGAGCGTGCTCGAGAGAGTCCCAATACGGCCTAGCGTTTCGTCGAAAAGAAAAGAAGGGGATGTGGGGTCGTGGAATCGTGGTGTAGATCTAAGCGGAGGCCACTGTCAAGAATACTGTCCCGTTTTGCTGTTCACAGCTAGGGACGGCCTCTGCCGCAAAGTCAAACCACCCCACCTACCGCCTCCCTCCCTCCCACCTACCACAGCAAACCTTCGCCTCCCGCTCAGAGGCTCGCCGCGCCCGTGCGGCGCGCCGAGGCGGCGCCGAGGCCGGCGCCTTGCACCCGGCCCGCGGCCGGCACCGCCTCGCCCCACAACTGACCGCCCTGCGGCCCCTGCGCAGGCGTACCACAGGCGTCGCTCAAAAAGCGACGCGGGGTGTGGGCTGCTCCCTTGACCCGTCACCCGCCGCGCCCTCGCCCGGCCGCCTCACCGCTCACGGAGCGCTCGGCTGCTCGCCGCCGCCGCCACGCGTCCCGCGCCGCCACGCATGCCCCTTGCCCTGACGCGCGCGCTCTGCAGCGGCAGAGCGCGCGTCTGTCACAGACGGAGCAGCGACCGCGCCAGCGGTCGCTGCTCCGCCCCCCCGTCGCGCACGCCGCGCGCGCGCTGCGCCGCTGCCGCCGCCGCCGCCGCCGCCGCCGCCGCCGCCCCCTCCTCGCCGTCTTCCCCACCCTACCCTCTGTTGCGCGCGCGCGCCGCGCGCTGCGCGCCCCCGCCCCCACCCCCGCCCCCGCCCCCGCCCCCGCTCCCACGCGCCCCTTCCCCGGTAGGTGTGCGTAGTAGATGGAACCAATCGAGAGGTGGCAGAAGCCGCCGTGTGTGACACATCTTGCGGCACGTGAGTGAGACAGAGCCCCGCGCGGCAGCGCGCGCGCAGCGCAACAGGCGTTTCAAACAGCAAACGGGACGGCCTCCCCCTCCCCTATTTTACAAGGCCCCCCCCCGGCCCCGGCCCCCCACAAGAAGGAGGAGTATGGACGAGCCTTCTGACGGTGCCTCGACGGCCGGCGCCGCTCATCAGACGTGGGAAAGGCCGCCAGACCTGAGTGCGCTCAACCTATACGGCTGGTCGTGGAGCTCCGAGCGTTCGGTCGACGCCAACCTGCTCGACCTCGCTTACCTCGTCGCTCGCAACTCGACGTGCAAGGACGGCCACATGGGCTGCGTCCTCGCGCGCGGCGTGCCGAACGGCCGCGGCGGCGAGACCGCGGCCGCGCTCGCCCGAGACCCAGTCAACTCGGTGGCGGGAGCGGCAGGCACCGTTTGCCCGCCGTGTCCGCCCGGCGCGCCGCAGGCTGCTGCCGACGGCGCGGAGGCGTCACCCGCGCCGCCGCTCTGCCCGTCGGTGGTGCTGTGCGCCACCAACGCGCCGCTGTTTGGCGCCCACAGCTCCAACGCTCCGCCCGCGGCTTTCCGACCCGTCTTCACGATGTGCTGTCCGCCTGTGCCTCAGGCGCGCACCGCTCGGACTGCCACGCAGAAGCGCTCGCCGTCAGCGAGTGCGCGCGGCGCGGCATCGGTGCGAGACCACCCTAGATGGTCAGAGATCGCCCGAGATTGTCCGAGAGGTTGTCCGTACGAGATTGTGACTTGTGATCCCAGTGACGTGATGAATGGCTTGTTGGCCCAGGCACCGCCGGCCTGTCCATCTACGTGAAGTCGCTCTCGCGCGGGACGTGCTGCTCACTCAGCGACTGAGCTGACTCATTCATGAGGCAGGTCACTCGCACGCCGTGCGGGCCGTGCTACAAGCTCCTCGCCGCCGCCGGAGTCGCTCGCATCGTCAGCCCCAGCGAAGGGCGGTGGCCGTCGGCCGGCGAGATCCAAAGAGCGGTCCACGGGGTAGAGCTGTGAGCAGGTTGCACCCAACGAGCGCATGGCGTCGGCGGACTGCGCGGCGAGCGCGGCGCGGCTGGGGATCGAGTACGCGTCGCTGCTTCCCGACGCCACATCTGCTGGTCGTGAGTAATGCGAGCGCGGGCGGCTGGCTGTGAACAGGTACATCTGGCTGCCCGACTCGCCGCAGCGCGCCGCGGAGCGCGAGGCGCTCGGCAGCGCCAATGAGGACTACGAGAGGGTGCGCGCCCTCCGCGAGGAGCGCAAGGGGCTGCGCAGGCAGCGCTCGCACGACTTGGCTGTTGATGGATGGATTGCTTGACGACATAGGAGCGGAAGAGGCTGCGCAAGGAGCGCTCGTACGGGCGAAAGAGTTGCGCGCGGACGGCGGCTTCGGAGGAGGCGGCTGCGGCGCAGCCGGAGGGAGGAGGGGGCGGCTCTGGAGGCGGTGTGGGGGCGGCGGCCGGCGAGGGGAGAGGTGGCGAGAGCGGGTGCGGGGCGGTGGGCGTGTAATGCGAATCAGAGCCAGTCTGCGACACTCTGCATCTGGGCGCGGAGTCCGGGTGGCCGGTTCTTCTTTCCGTGCCAGTGAACGCCAGTCCCGTGCCCCGCGCCGGAGATCAGAGGGCTCGTGTCAGAGGGAAAACCCGCCTCAGAAGGCGGCACCGCGGCAGAGGGTGGAGAAAAAAGAAAGAATTTACATCAAAACCGCCCGCGAGCCAGAGTCGAGAGTGCGGCAGATCGCGCGGATCGTCGCGAGGGGGCAGTGGCGAGGGCGGTACCCGGAGGTGCTCATCGTGGAGAATGCGACGCTGCTGATGGAGCTGCTCTACAACCAGCTGGAGGCACAGCCCCCGGGGTCCCCCTGCTGGGGAGGCAAGCACACCCCGGTGGGACGAGGCGCCGATCGTCGTGCTAGCGAGCGACCTTGCGGGCGGGGTGGAGGAGCTGTTCCGCACCGTCCTGGAACGGATCTCTGAGCGGGTGGAAGGGGAAGCGGAGGAGGGGATGAGGACGCGCCTGTGCCACGCCATGCAGGGACAGGGAGTGTGTGTGTGCTTTTGTTGTGCAGCCCCTGTGGTCCATGAGAAGAGGAGGCGAGGAGACGGGTTGGCGGCGAGGGGGGGGCAGCCGCCGCAACAGGCGAGCGCACCCCGAGCCGGGGCTACACCTAGGGGTCGCCGCTGGGGCTCCACACCAGGCGTCACGGCCGCGAGGGCCGCCACCGTACCCGCCACCCCCGCCACCGCCTCCACCCCCGCCGCCGGCGTGGCCGTCACCACTCCGACCCGCGCGGAGCCCGGGGAGCCCGGAGCCGCCCTGTCGGAAGCTGAGGTACCCGGGGGAGGGGTCCGAGGGGGGGGTGGTGCCGTGGGGAGACAGCGGGTCAGCCGGCGGACCGGAAGGCCGGGACCGGAGGGCCCCGGGTGAGGCCTGGAGTCAACTGTCGAGGGAGGTGAGAGTCGAGCTGACTCGGCCTCTGCGAGTGGAGTCGGGCCGTGCGAACCCACCGGGGGTAGACCCGTCGCGGCGGCGGCTGGACCGCCGTGATCTACGACAAGAGGGACCGCGCCTCCCCGAGCTCAGTGAGGAGCCGGCGGAGGGGGAGGGCGAGCCGAGAACGATAGAGAGGCCGCGGATGCGGGCGCGACTCGCCGACCAGGGAGAGCCGGCCCGACCTCCCGGGGAGGGGTGGCGATGAGACACACTGCCGCCGCCCTCGCCCGGGGAGACCCCGGCCGAGCCGTCGACGCCCTCGGAGTCGGTGGAGCCGGGAAAAGCTGGCGAAGATGAAGGGCGGCAGCGAAGGAAGCGACACCAACATCGAGGGAAACGGCCACACCGGCCGTCGCATGACGCTCGTGAGACGAGCAAGAGAGCGAATCAAGGGGGGTCGGAACCCTGGGAGGACGGGGGGTGAGCCCTCATGCGGGGGGTCTACTCAAGTGCCTGCGCGAGTGAGTGGGGAGTGGTGGTGTGAGGCGTGCAGTGTGGTGTTCATTAGCTCCGAGTAGAGGGGGCGTCCTGCAGTTAATGGGAAACCCGGTACGCGGGGCCAACCCTCGGAGACCCGTGTTTACTTTACGGCCCTTTCCCTGCGAATGCGCACCCCCCCTAGCTAGGGGTCAGGGCTCTCTAGCCCGTAGCCCGATGCCGATCATCCGGCTCGCTGGGTGCGCTTCTTAGCTCCCCGGCCCTGGATGTGAGGTTGCCGACTGCACTCCAAGTGCTCCAAGTGCCACTGCCGTACTCCAAGTGCTCCAAGTGCTCCAAGTGCCGTCCTCCCTCGCGCACAAGACTGGGCGCGCGGGACTGGCGCGCACTGGCACTGACACAGGTACACCACGGGAGCCGCCTAAGTAAGCGCGACTCCTGCGAGGACGGCGAGGCACGAAAAGAAAGAATCCACGGCGTGCGGAGGGATGCGGATGGGAGAACAGCACAGAGGCCGCCATTACACAGGGATTTAAGGAAAGGAGTGTCGCTCTGCACTTCCATTTGGAGCACTTGGAGCACCGTTGGAGTGCGGTCATTAGCCTCACATCCAGGGCCGGGGAGCTAAGAATGGGAGTGCCTAAGTTTTTTCTTCGCTGTGCGGCCAGCGCTGACCTGTTTGTTAAAATCTCGTTAAAATTGACCCCAGACCCACAGTTATTGTTATGGTGTTTATGGCTCTCTGGGCATGGCAGCCCATAACATGTCATGGATGTTATGGCTGTTATGCTTATGGGGCCGGCCCCACAGCCATAACACCCATAACATGTTATGGGCCGCTGCTATGCGGTAGTGCGTCTCCAGCCATGTCTACTAAGGATGGCTGCCGTGTGTGTATTGCAGCCATCGGGCTGAAGGAAGGATGTGGCTGCACTGCACCTTAGAGATGGCTGTGAAGCTGAAGGAGCCAGCACACCCATTCTGGTGTTACATTCCGAGGTTAGCCTTCGCTTTCCGGACTGAAAAAGTACCCTCTGCCCCTCCGCTCGCCAAAAAGAAAGAAAGAAAACAGAGAACCCAAACGAGGGATGGGGGAGGAGGACAGGGTCCCCACCTGCACGAGCAGGATTTTGGAAGGACGATCAGGGGGACAGGTGGGGCTCTCCTGCTTCTGACAAGGGACACGACAGGCTCGCAGCGCGGTGCACGGCGGGCTCCCGCTCGCCAGCACTTGTCAATTCGCGAAAAAATCTTTCTGTACAGCACTCGGTTGGCCATGTGCGTCTGCTTGCCGCTGGCGAGCCTGCTGCTGGCCCCATCGTTTGCGTGGACCGCCCATCGTTCGGCGTGGATCGCCCATCGGCCGCACGCGTGGAGCGGCGGCGCGGTGCGGGCGACTGCCGTCGCTGTAGCGGCGCTCGAGCCGAAGCAGCTCACGATGGAGCTGGTGCGCTCGAATCGTACCGTGCAGCTCATGCGGTTGTGGGAGGAGCACGGCGACGACTTCAACGCCATGCATATCTCCGCGTTTTGGAACCGGCTCGGCAAGCTCGTCCGCTCGTCCCGCGCAGAGCAGTCGTGGTTGCGCGCACGTGGCGCGGCGCTGTCCCCGGTGCGGGAGCGGACGCTGGCGATGCTCCCCGACCTGGAGGCGCGCTCCCTCGTCAACACGGCCCACGGCCTCGCCAGTGCGCGGCTGCTCGCCTCGTCGCCCGCGTGGCTGCAGCTCTGGGGGAGCTTGGATGGCGCGGCGCGTGCGCAGTGCGACCGGCGCCAGCTGACGCCGCAGAACCTGGCCAACCTGGCGTGGTCCTTCGCGACCGCGCGGCACGGCGTTGCGCCCCTCTTCGAGATCATCGCCGCCCAGTCGCGGCCCCAGCTCGCCGACTTTTCGCCGCAGGGCCGAGAAGTAGCTGAGATGCAGCCGAGATGCAGCCAGGTACAGCCGAGGTGACGTCGAGGTGACGTCGAGGAGACGTCGAGATTAGGTCTGTCGAACTTGGTCTGGGCGTACGCCACGGCGGCGCTGCCGTCGCCGGAGCTGTTTGACGAGGTTGCTGCTGCTGTCGTTTCGCGCGTCGGCGAGTAAAAACCACGCAGCGGCTTCGTCAACCGGTAACTGGTTGAGGAGGATGAGTGGCAATCAGGCGAGTTCAACAACACGCAGGGGCTCGTCAACGTCGTGTGGGCGTACGCAACGGCGGGGCACGAGGCGCCTCTCCTCTACGCCGCCGTCGCCTCGCGGCTGCAGCAGCGCGCAGACGCAGCGGCGCCGCAGGGCCTCCTCCTCGCAAATTTCTCTTGTTGAGGGCAGAGTCTCTCTGTTTCAGGCGTGCTCGCCGCAGGGCCTCGCCATCGCCGCGTGGGCGTACGCCTCGAGCGGCACGGAGGCGCCGCAGCTGTACGCGGCGCTCTCCTCGTCAGCGGTGGTGCGGCTGCACCACTTCCAGCCGCAGGGCCTCGCCAACCTGGTGTGGGGCCTGGCCACGGCGGGGCACGAGGAGCCCGCACTGTTCGCCGCCGTCGCCGCGGAGGCAAAGGGCCGGCGGCGTAGTCCTGGTCAGGAACAGGAGTGGTTGTAGCAGCGGAAGCAATGATGGTAGGCAAAGGGCCGGCTGCATGGCTTCCAGGGGCAGGGCCTCGCAAACACGGCGTGGGCGTTCGCCAAGGCGGGGTGCGCCGACGAGGCGCTCTTTGAGGCGCTGGCGGCGGAGGTGCCGCGTCGGCTGGACGAGCTCAGTTCGCAGGAGCTCGCAAACATGGGCTGGGCGTTCGCCACGTCGGGCGTCTCTGCGCCGGAGCTCTTTGCCGCGCTCGGCGACACCGCGCTGCCGCGGTTGGCGAGCTTCAAGCCGCAGGAGGTTGCGAACTTGGTCTGGGCTTTCGCCACGGCGGGCGTGGCCCACCCGCTGCTGATCGAGGCTGCGGCGCGCGAGGCGGTACGGCGGATGCCCGAGTTCTCGCAGCAGGGCCTCGCCAACCTCGCGTGGGCCCTCGCGACGCTGAAGGCGGACGGCGGCGGCGGCACGGGGGCCGGCGCGGCGGCGACAGCGGGGGACGCCAACGCGAAAGTGGGCGAGCGGGGGGGGGAGGCGGAGGGGGCGGCAGAGGCGGAGGAGGGGAGCGCTGACAGCTCGGCCTCTGCCACCTCCGCTTTCTTCGCCGCCCTCGCCTCTGCAGTCGAGGTTCGCGCTGAGCAGTTCAACGCCCAGGGGCTCGCCAACCTCGCCTGGGCCTTCGCCAGCGTCGGCGGCGCGCCCGCCCCCGTCTTCGAGGCGCTGCATGTCGCCATCCTGCCCAAGCTCCGCGAGTTCACCGGCCAAGGGCTGGCCAACGTCGCGTGGGCCTTTGCCACGGCGGGGCACGCGAGGGCGCTCTTCGGCCCGCTCTCGTCGGAGCTCCTCTCGCGACTGGACGCGCTTCGCGCCAAGGAGCTGGCCATCACGGCGTGGGCGTACGCCACGGCGGGCGTGGTGGACGCGCCGCTGTTCGACGCCATCGCGCGGCTCGCGACGCGACGCCTCGGCGACCTCGCGTGTCTCGGCCCGACTGACGATGGAGACGAGTCTCGCAAGGTGTTTCTCCGCGAATAGGCGACTTCTCGTGCCAGGGCCTCGCCAACCTCGCGTGGGCGTACGCGAGCGCGGCGCATGAGGACGCGGGCTTCGTGGCGGCGCTCGGCTGCGAGTCTGGCCCGCGGCTGCACACTTTCAACTCGCAGGAGCTCGCCAACACCGCTTGGGCGTTTGCCGTGGCCGACGTGCGCAGCGACGAGTGTTTTGGGCCTGGCGCGAGGTTCGCAGAGATGTGCGATCGGGTGGAGTGGAACGACAAGCAGCTGAACCAGCTGCACCAGTGGAGCTTGTGGCGGGCAGAGACGGGCTGCGAGTGGCCGCCGCTGCCGCCACAGCTGGAGAGGCGCTCCCGCGCCGCGTTCGCGTCGGCGCAAGTGCACCCGAGCCGGATGCAGCGGCACGTCTGCTACGCGCTCGGCTCGCTCGGATTGCCGTCGCAGGAGGAGGTTCGCATCCCCGAAGGCTACTCGATCGACGTGGCCACGGAGTGGGGCGGCGTGCGGGTCGGCATCGAAGTGGACGGCCCGTCGCACTTCCGGACCGACCGAAGGCCGACCGGCTCGACGGTGCTCAAGCGGCGTCAGCTGCGCCACTTTGGGTGGACGCTGCTCTCGGTGCCGTACTGGGAGTGGGAGGCGCTGCGCGACGAGGACCGCTTCATCCAGCGGCAGATGCAATGTGCCTATCTCGCCGAGGCGCTCGACGAGGCGACGGGCACGCGCACCACCGCATCGGGGGACGGGTGGGTGGCCATCGACTGCACCTCGCTGCTCGACGAGGCGACCGCCGAGCTGGAGGACCTCCCGTCCTTCCAGGGCGTCGCGCCGAGCGGCACGGCCACGGCGCGGCTCGAGCCGCCAGAGCTCGACCCGCCCCCGGAGCCGGCGACGGCGGCGCCGGAGCCGGCGACGGCCGCGCCAGAGGAGGACGCAGAGGAGGAGGAGGGCGGCAGGGGCGCGGCGGAGGAGGGGGAGCTGTGAGAGCAGGGGCCGCAACGCAGCGTACACTGTCACGCAATCGGTCACTCGTGAGTTTTTGTCGTCGGGCGCATGAGTGGTTCCCTACGTCTCGGTTGTTGCAGCGAAAAGAGGGTGGAGATGGCTCGCATGCACGAAAACAGCGGTCAGCGCGCGTGCGCGGGCGCGCCGCCCACGTCGCACTGTGCTTTTAACCCTTTCAGGCACACATTTTTCGAGCGAGTGAACACAGCACCGTAGCCTGACCGCCTGAGTGTTTAAGTGACCGCCTTGTCCGCTTGTGTAACCGTCTAGCACTCCCAGAGCACCGGAAAGAGAAAAAAGCTCGGTGTGAATAAACACTCGGAGTGCCCTTGCTCGAGGCTTCAGCTGCTCGCTTTTGCGGCTGCCTGTGCTCTCCCCGCGCTGTGCACCGTCGCTCCGAGGATCTCGCTGCTCTTCGTGGATCCACCCCGAGCATTTCCGCCCGACGGTGTATTTTTGCCGCAGCACGATGAGCGGCTCAGCTGCTGAGTCGGTCGGTGAGTGTGTCCAGCCCTGCTCGCCCGCTGTGCGCCCTGCTGCAGGGGTGGCAAAAATACGGCGAGGGGTGGGGACGCTCGGGGGTGATCCACGAAGAGCTCCCCTGCCTCGCGGTGCCTCTCAGGTGTCGACCCGGTTGAGGCCCAAGCAGCGCCAGCAGGTGCTGCTGCGGCGGGCAGAGGCGGCAGAGGGTAACCGACTAGTGGGTACGGCATTTCTCGAGTCGTCATTTGGGCAGTGTCTGACACCTCAGTCAGGCGCCGCCGCCATAGCCGCTGCGGTCGTAGTCCTGCCCGTAGTCGAGGTACAGCTCCTCGCCGCGGCGTACGTCCCTCTCCGCCGAGAAGACGACGTCCGCCCCCTCGACTGCGACGCCGACGTTCACGTCCCCGCCCGGGCCCGGCTCGTTGAGGAGGGCGAGCGTGGTTGGCGTGCACCTGGGCACAGCATGAACGCCTGTGACGGCGACGCCGACCGCACCTCGTTGTGGGGCGAAGCTCGCACCAGTTCGCCATCGCGCCGGTCCGCAGGCTCTCTGGCATGCCTTCGATCAGAGGCACTCCGGGTGCCTGCCACCGCACAGACAGGGCATCCATGCTGTGCTGGGCAGAGGGGGCAGAGAGAAGTGGAGAGCCCTGGTGTGTGAGAGTGCCACGCGCCTCGTACAGCCGCCCCTCCCCGTCGGTCGGGTCGAGAGCCGCGACGTCGCCGATCCGCCAGCAATACTCGGCCACGTGCGGCCCGACGACGCGCAGCTTCGTTGCGTACTCGGCTGCCGATCGCAAGCGGCCAGGGTACGCTCCCAGAACCGTGCCGGAGGGCAGCGCAGTCGCCGCAAAGCAGCCGCGGCCGGCGCCGGCGACGAGGCTGGGACGCACCTCCAGCAGCCCGGGCGCGAGCCAGCCGCGAGGCCGCCGCTCGCGCAGCTGTGCGGCGAGGAGGACCTGGCGGAGAAGCGCTGGTTGTAAACTCGTGCTGTTAACATGACGGTTGCTGTGTGTGGGGTGGCGGCGCTACGGCTACAGCTACCACTGCCGCTGCCGCTACCGCTACCGCTCGCCGTCAGCGCGAGCGTCGGCCCGAGAGCAAACGGATCCGAGACGTAGGAGACGGACGAGGCGGAGATCCGTGCGACGCGGAGCGGCGCGTGCAGGCCTCGAGGACCGGGTCCGAGAGAGCGCCTGCGCATATATATATATACGTGTACGCGCCGACGCCGGCCCGGCGCATTTCTTCTCTGCACTGTACTCGCAGTTGGTAAACCATAGTAGTATCTAGGTATATTGTTGGCAAATCAAGACACAGAGCTCACACAGAATCACAGCGGGAGGAAAGCGGCGAGTCGCAATTCCTGGGGTCCTTGTGGCGGGCCACCCTGTCCAGAGAGGCATGGATGCCAATCTGGGGTCTCTCGACCGAGTCTATGAAGCCCTGGCCGCTCCCGGTTGTGGCAGAGGTTATCAAACTCATGTGGCTGGGTCGACCGCGCCCGAGTCAACAGGGCGGACGCGATGTGCTGGGCTCTCGATGCCGGTAAAACTCTGCCGCGAAGGGACGATTGAACTACAAGAGGAACTTGTTCAGCAGGATCCGGGGTAGTCAGGCGCACTACCTCACTGGGCCTGAGATCACCACACGACGCCTCCCATCACCGTCTCGGGTTTGTGTGGAGTCGAACCACTCCGGGATGGGCAGGCCCATCTACTTACATTTAGTTGCACCCCTGCACCTGCAGGAGATAGCGGGAGAGGAATGGGTGGAGCTGGGACTGGAGGGGAGGAGAAGACGAGGAGGGCGGGGAGGGGGGAGGGGGGTTGGGGGGGGGAGGGGGCATTGAGGCAGGGAGCGGGAGGGGGGGGGGAGGGGGGGGGGGGGCTCAAATGGGCGAAAACGGCAGTCATAGCAACTCGTAGACGTATTACCCACCCGTCAGCTGGTTAATTGTCAAAATTCCTGCCCTGGGCAAAAGGGGAGGGGGCTCTTACGGAATGTGTGCCCAAAGAGGGCAGGGAATGGGCCCAGGGGAAAAGGGGGGGGGGGGGCGGGGGGGTCCTCACCCCCCTGGAAAAAAAGCTCTTAAAAAAAATTTTTTGTGGAGGGCCTTTCGCCCGACACCCCCCCCCT